GCCGTAGCATTGCTATCATCGCCTCCGGCGATGGGCGTCAAAGGTCAGTGTGTGTGTGTGTGTGTGTGTGTGTGTGTGTTTGTGCATGTACATACATGTATGTGTATGTGTGGCCGTGTGTGTGTGTACGTGTATGCGTGAGAGCTCTAAGTGTAGCTCGTGTATACGTACACAAGTGTGCTGTGGTCCGCAAAGTCCCGGCATTGTGAGTGAGCCAGGTGTTGTGCAGTTCCCGGACTGCATATCACCCTGTGGGAATGGGAGCAAGGCACGCATGTCTTCGTACATCTGCAAAGCAGCTAACCCGTTGCTTTCCTCCCTGTTCCTTTCTTGCCACTTTATTCTTCTTGTTGTTGTACCTTTGTCATGGCTGGGTATCGCCCTCATCTCCGGGGTTGCTGCCCATATTAGCGTTGCGTGCACGTACTACGAGATTGAGTTGAATATTTAAAAGTAAATAAAACCTGCCTGTTGCGAATTTGTATTACGACTATGATTTACGCATGTCGTTGTATTTGGTTCTTGTCTTGTGGAGTCCAGTGTCTGATGTCATATATGGTCTAAGTGTACACGTGAGTATGGTGTGATGTGTGACGTTTATGGTATGTGGTGCATGCAAGAGTACGCGTTGTCAGAGAGTGAGGATGTGCTTCCGTCTGTGTGAGAGTGACTGTCAAGTGAATGCTGTACATGCGCAGTGCTAGTTTGGTCTGGGAATGAGAGTCATGTGTGATTCGTCCGTGGTCTGGTTGTCTTGGCCTTGGTCATGTGTTCTGTACGTATTAGTCCCTGATTGGTTGTTTCGATGTGTTCGCCCTTTTCTCTGTTTTATGACTGTTGGTTGTTTATTATTTCTTTGCCTTTTCTCCCCCGTTCTCCCGCCCACCAGTTAGTTATTTATTCCAAGAGATCTTATTCAAGAAACTGTGTCGTCCTCTTGCCCGCGTGGATGAGTCGGAGAGTGGTTGTGTGGCGGGGAGCGGGGGAAATTCCACAACATTGGCGCCCGACGTGGTGATTGGCTCGAACCCACGATTCTCCTTCACCACCAGTAGTTTGTGCTCGCCGTTCCCTTTTGTTTTCGTTTTGTCTATTCTTTTTGGGCCATGCCCTTGCGCGTTTTTCGTTTCTCGTTTTGGAGACAAGATATTATGGATTGGAGGGTTGTTCGTCACGCAGCCGTCAACCAGGCTTCTCATCGGCTTCTCATTGGCGATGATGCGGGTGGTCGTTCGTCAGGCGGACGCATTCCGGGTGAGTCGCTCCCGGAACGGGATGTCGTTGTTGTCGTACTAGTCTAATTGTTGCATGTGAAAGCCTTCGGAGATGATATGTCCAGTATAATGTATTACTTCCCAGAAGGGCTCAGGTCCCGAGTGTTTCCACGTCGTTCTGTTTATAATATTTTCACAATCTCGGTAGTCGGTCTTTTACCTTGTGTGGGCGATTCTGTTTGTGTCGAGCGTCGTAGTACTCCACCCGCCATGGGTTATGCTTTCAGTGAACGTGTTTTTTTCGAGTCAGTGAGCGTATATTTGCGGTGTTTTGTACTGGCCAGTTTTCTTGGTTACGAGGATACACTTGGTTCATAGCTGGGGTAGTCTTTCAGTGAGCGTATTTTTTCGTTTTGTGTCGACTTGCGGGTCTCCCCACTTTGCCGTGGTGGGCGCCCGATCATGGTGAGCCACGGCCTACCAGGTGAGCTGGGGGGGGGGGGGGGATCCCTGCGTTCTCATGGTTTGCCTTGCGGGTATTTTTTAGCTGGCGGTACCGACTTGTGCCGGCCAGGGTGGGTAAGTTGAAGGGTTTTTGGCAGGCGGGGTCCCTGCGTTTTCGAGTTCCTGGTTTTTTCTTTGCGTACTGGCAGCCATAGTAATTTGTTTCGTCTATACTGTCCTCACTGTTCGTTTAACCCTACATGCCTGCTGTTCCTATGTTTACCATGTACTGATCGAATGCTGCTGTACCTGTGTTTCGTTTTTTTGCCCTGCTTGGCGCACCATACCTGGAACAACAACGGACTGGCCAAGCCGTACAAGGTTGCCATACGCAGATTTCCCAAGATTCTGCACCCGTGAAGGCTTCCTATTCCAACTCGGATCACACATCTCTGGCCACAGCATTCCGTTGTCTTATCGTTTGGTTGTGTTTCCCCTTGTTTCTTTTCTCTGATCTTTTTCGTTTGTTCTGAGAGTCGAGGTCGACTCTCGCCGGAGGGGAGGGCTATGTTGCGAATTTGTATTACGACTATGATTTACGCATGTCGTTGTATTTGGTTCTTGTCTTGTGGAGTCCAGTGTCTGAATGTCATATATGGTCTAAGTGTACGCGCGAGTATGGTGTGATGTGTGACGTTTATGGTATGTGGTGCATGCAAGAGTACGCGTTGTCAGAGAGTGAGGATGTGCTTCCGTCTGTGTGAGAGTGACTGTCAAGTGAATGCTGTACATGCGCAGTGCTAGTTTGGTCTGGGAATGAGAGTCATGTGTGATTCGTCCGTGGTCTGGTTGTCTTGGCCTTGGCCATGTGTTCTGTACGTATTAGTCCCTGATTGGTCGTTTCGATGTGTTCGCCCTTTTCTCTGTTTTATAACTGTTGGTTGTTTATTATTTCTTTGTCTTTTCTCCCCCGTTCTCCCGCCCACCAGTTAGTTATTTATTCCAAGAGATCTTATTCAAGAAACTGTGTCGTCCTCTTGCCCGCGTGGATGAGTCGGAGAGTGGTTGTGTGGCGGGGAGCGGGGGGAAATTCCACAACATGCCTATACTTGATCTTGTAGTATCTCCTAAGCCTGTACTGACCACCACTGCATTCATATTCTATCTGGTGTTATTATTATTCCCAGGTGTAACCGATTGCCAACTTCCCAGTATTTCCAATGCAATGGTCGTCAGCATCGCCTCCCCGCAAGGTGCCCTACCAGGACAAGTTGACGCTATAGTGGAGTGCAACATCGGTTACAAGCTGGATGGCGGGGCAGCATCTGCAAATATCAAGTGTATTCCCAACTCTTTAGGGTGGAATCCGCCAAGTTGTTCCTGTACGTATCCATCAACCCATTTTGACCTAGTAATGTATTTTCCATACCTGGAGAAATCAATTGCGGATGCTATTAGGGAGAACATTAGGGAGAACACTTATCCCCGGGCGAATTCTTTCAGTTCCGACTTGGATGGAGAGCCAAGGATTAAGATTGAAAAGAAAAGAAAAACCCAAAGGTTTACTGCTTCACTAGTTTGAGGGAAAGAGACAAACGGGAAAAGTCTGAAGAAAAAATTGACTGTCACCACCAGGACTCGAACCAGGGACCCTCGCTTGTAGCTAGCGACATGCTTACAAAATAATTATCTGTGCTTTGTCCAGCTTTATTAAAATTTACTGGAGAGTCAGAATTTGCAAGAGTTAGCATGATAGGGGCTTTGCGATTACATCCTCAATAAGAAAGTAAAGTTCGCACATCTGTGTTACCACCAGCTTACTACCGTATTTCCCCGTAAGTAAGTTCTCCCCAATGACTTAGCACCCCCTTTAAAAAATACACTTTCCACTGCCGAGGTTATCACCCCGAAAGACAGTTCCCCCCGAAAGATAGTAAGTTCGTACCCGTCCTACATGTACAGACACCGTACAGTACATCCATCATATGCACGGACACTAGAGTTGCGCAGGCTTCCCACTGCGTGTCATTTACCCCCGATAAAAAAGCACTCCCCGAAAGGTAGTATCACCCCCGAAAGTTAGTACTCATGTGGCTGCTAAGTTCGAAAGTTAGTACGTACGAACTTACGGGGAAATACGGTATTGTGTTCAGAAACACAACCAGCTTAGAGAAGTCTCACTCGTGCCATGCCACCACCATGCCTGATTATGCCAGGGTGGAGGATGCATTGTCGCCAACCGCCCGTATTTGTCCGTATTTTTTTTACGGAAAAACGAAGTTTTGTCCGCCGTACGGATTTCAATCGAATTATCCCGGATGACTAAAACCTTCATACCTCCATCGTTTCTGGTGCAAATTCAACAATCGAAGGGTCTACCCTAGATGGTAGCGAAAACTCCAAGCTGTCCTACGCAACAATCGCCGAAGAGTTATAATGTCGGACTCCAGAAATATCGTGCGCCGTATTCTTATCTCGGCAAATTCGAATTTTTGATCGATTTCTTCGCCATTTTTGGGGAAAACTCCCTTCTACGTGTGGCCTTTGAGCAACTGAGCACATCATACCGACGTAGCTGGTCGAAGTTTGAATCGCCTCGAAAAATATGAGCGTTCTGCGATGAAGGAGAGTAGAATGGTGTTGATGGGACGAATTTGCTTGCATACTTTTGTAAGTTAGGCTTGGAGATGACTTTTTTGTGTTACCATGCCTGATTTGTGGCGGCTTCATAATGGAGCTTGGTATCCTGGCATTGCTCCTGTCAAGAGCTTTCCAACGAGCCCTAGATTGTGAAAATCAAGCGAAGTAGACCTAAGTTATGACCGGGTAAAGTTGAAAATTGTACTGACATTAATTCTGTTGCATGCTGTGCTGATTGATATACATACATGTATATGATAACCACTAGGGGTGCGCGGATTATTCCCGGAATAATTTGGGAATACTATCGTCGAGAAAATTTGGGAAGTTTAGGGGAATTCTATCGATCTTTTGCCAGATCCATTGACCTTCAGAAGAGTTTTGGGGGAATTCTGTCAATTTTGACCTGCCAGAGAACAAGCGCGCATCCATGGACGCACGTACATGTACATGCAGCAATACCCGGACACGACATAGTAGCTGTGTACAGTCAGATGTAGATCCTGCATGCAGTGATCACGTGCCTGACCGTCCATTTTGCATACTAAAGAGCATGCGCAAGGCACGATTCGTGCTGGGGTTCTTTTTTTGGGGGGAATTCTGGAGAATTTTTTCGATGTTTTGGGAGAATACTTTCGAAGTTCCGCGGGAAATGCCCGAAAGCATAATATCGGTTGCGTGCGAGCATAATCCGCGCACCCCTAATAACCACAATCAATAAGACGAGCTGAACCGACATTTGTGTACTTTATTCATGCAATGTAAAACAGTGGAGACGATGTGCAATAAAACGATGAAAATATTTTCTTAGTACTTGGTCCGCGTCAGCAATATTGTTGCTTATCTTTCGACAATCTGATCTTAGACTTTGGACATGAACGCGTGCACTTGAAGTGATAAAACGTGGTACGATGGACGGTAAGGTATATAATGACAACTAGCTGCGAGGAATTTATGGTCCAAGGAAGGGTTCCTACTTTTTTCGGTCCTCCGCGTCGCTGCTCTCGGCGCTGGCGACAAATATTTTTGCTCGGGATTGACTCTCTTGCTTTTGCAAGCTCATCTCTCTTCCTCTCCGCTGCCTGGCTATTTTCTAAAGAGAAGTCGATCGTGACGGTCGCCTTCTCTATAGGACTTCGCCTGGGCAGCACGACAGCCTGTGTGGTTCAAATCAGACGCCGTTCTTTGCAAGATTTTATTTTGAACGACGACGACGCGTACAGTACATGTACTTGCAAATCTCCACGACGCGCTGGATACTCCGAGCGAGGAGCTTGTGATATCCGTACTAGTGAGCTACCTCACGTGATAGATCATTATCTTTCTACTCCTCTACTCTAAGTTGTATCAGCCGCGCATGCTTTTCCGTTGTGCTGCTGAGCTTCTCTGTCGTTCTAGTTCGACGTTCTAGCTTTGATCTTGAAGTCAACAGTTCCCCTTTTGTCTTGTTCTGAACTGCTATGGTGTGATTATAATATTTGGCGACGAAGTCCTTGATTCAGCTGCCACGATGAGCACAGTAAAATCATTGAACCCGTTTGATCTGGAACCGCCTGAGTCGGTTGGCCCTCGTTGGGAGAAATGGCTGGCTCGTTTCGATAATTATTTGATTGCAGCAAACATCACGGAAGACGAGCGGCAGAGAGCCCAGCTCTTGCACGGTGGCGGTGAGGACGTGTTTGACGTCTACCTCACCTTTGACAGCAGTAGCATTACAAGTTACGACGACTTGAAGGATGCTCTGACGGCTCACTTCAGTCCGAAGCGCAACAGGGAATACGAGGTCTACTTGTTCCGTCGTGAGAAACAATCTCAGTCGGAGACCCTTGATAGCTACGTAACTCGTCTTAGGCGTTTGGGCAAGCACTGTCAATTTGCAGATATGGACACAGAGCTAAAGTCTCAGGTCGTACAGCACTGTGTGTCGTCGAAGGTACGTGAAAAGGCTTTCATGGAGAGCAGCATGTCGTTGGCAGACCTCCTTACTTATGCACGTTCAGTGGAAGTCACGATGTCGTCTGTGGCAGCCATGGCCGGGGCCAGCAGCTTCAGCAAGCCTGAACATCCCCAAGTCCATAAAGTGGAGAGGCGACACCCATCAAGTCGTGACCAGCCCAGTCCTTCCAGTAAGGCCGTTCGCAAATGTAGCGGATGCGGGGGGAAATGGCACGACAACCGCTCGGATTGCCCAGCATGGGGCAAGACGTGCAAGTCCTGCAGCAGGTCGAATCATTTCTCAAAGGTATGCCGGTCGAAGGCTGTGCATCAGTTTTCCGCATCACCTGACCAGAGGGCGGAATACAGTGCGGAGCTGCACCACACCAGTTGCTCTGGTCATGTGCGTTCCAACGTGGATCCTTATATGTGTAGTGTGAGTCTGGCTGGCACCCCTGTTGTGTTTGAGATAGACACCGGAGCGGCAGTAACAATAATCAACAAAGCGGAGTACCAGACACTGGCGTCGAAAGATACCAAGCAGCAACTCCCCAGTCTGGAGACGAATGACCTGCCGAGCCTTAGGTCGTATGCTGGCAAGATCATACCAGTTATTGGTCGTCTCATCTGCAATGCCCGTCATGCGAAGAACTCGGCTCAGCTGACCATGTTTGTCGTCGAGGGTTCTGGTCCGAATCTGTTGGGTAGAGACGCGCTGCAGACGCTAAAGCTCAACTGGAACCGAGTCTTCAATGTCACCGGAGATCTGAGCAGTGACCTCCTGAGCAAGCATCCTGATGTTTTCAAGCCCGGACTAGGCACCTGGAAGCACGGCAGTGTCAAGCTTGCAGTCGACCACAATGCTAGACCTCGCTTCCTGAAAGCTCGCTCTGTGCCTTATGCTCTATAGTCTGCCGTGGAGAAGGAGCTGGACAAACTAGTCGACAACAATGTCATTCAGCCAGTCGAATTCGCTGAGTGGGCAGCACCGATTGTGCCAGTCCTCAAGAGCAATGGCCAAGTCCGCATCTGTGGTGATTACAAGTGCACTGTTAACCAGGCAGCCAAGACAGATAAGTACCCATTGCCGAACATAGAGGATTTGTACGTGAAACTTGCTAATGGCTGTTGCTTCACCAAGCTGGACCTCAGTCAAGCTTATCTCCAATTACCACTGGATGAACAGTCTAAACTTCTTACCACCATCAACACCACGAAGGGACTGTTTGTGTACAACCGACTGCCTTTTGGTGTGTCTTCGGCCCCGAGCATATTTCAACGTACGCTCGACCAATTGCTAGCTGGAATACCAATGGTCGTGATCTACTTGGATGACATTCTTGTCTCTGGCACAACTCGTGAAGAACACGACAAACATCTGAACATGGTTCTGGAACGTCTCAACGCAGCTGGATTGCGTTTGAACCGCACCAAATGTTCATTTGCAAGGTCCTCTGTGACATTCTTAGGTCACATCATCGATACATCTGGAATTAAGCCCACCAAGGAGAAAGTGCAAGATGTCATTGATGCAAGGGCTCCTACCGACGTCCAAGAGCTGAGAAGCTACCTCGGACTAATCAACTACTACCACAAGTTCATTCCTAACCTGAGCTCAGTACTTGCTCCGTTGTATGAACTATTGTCTTTCAAGAGTTGGGACTGGTCTCATCGTCAACAGTCCGCATTCGAGAGTAGCAAGAAGCTGCTCATTGACTCACCCGTCCGTGTGCATTACGACCCTAAACTACCAATTATTGTGAGCTGTGACGCCTCACCGTACGGCATTGGTGCAGTTTTGTCGCATGTTGTCAATGGCGAGGAGCATCCGGTAATCTTCGCATCGCGTACCCTGTCGTCAGCAGAACGAAACTACGCACAGATTGAGAAGGAAGGCCTCGCCATGGTTTTCGCTGTCAAGCGATTCCACAAGTACCTGTATGGCCAATCATTCACTCTTCAAACAGACCACAAACCTCTGCTGGGTTTGTTCAGCGAGTGTCGGCCCGTTCCTGCTATGGCCAGCGGTCGTATTCAGCGTTGGGCGCTGATGTTAGCCAACTATGACTATGAGCTACAGTACAAGCCCGGCAAATCGAATGGAAACGCTGATGGTCTCAGTCGTCTGCCGGCACCAACGCCAGAATTCCAGGTTCCCGTGCCGGCTGAAACAGTTTTGTCAATGACTGTTTTGGACGGAACTCCCGTAACATCATCGAGCGTTGCGCAATGGTCTCGCCGTGATCCAGTGCTTGCATTAGTTCTTAAGTACGTCCAGGAAGGCTGGCCTAACGACGTGCATAGTGATTACCAAGTGTACTACCGTCGTCGAAGTGAACTCTCCATCATCGATGGGTGCTTACTGTTGGGGTCTCGCGTTGTCATTCCGCCCCAAGGCCGAGAAAAGTTACTGGAAGAGTTACATTTCAGCCATCCCGGCATAACCAGAATGAAGTCGCTCGCCCGCAGCTACGTCTGGTGGCCATCGATCGATGCCGAAATTGAACTCAAGGTCCGCAGCTGTGAGCCATGTCAAGCAACCCAGAAGTCTCCAGCACTACAGCCATTGCATCCCTGGGAGTGGCCAGGCAAACCCTGGACCCGACTGCACATTGATTATGCAGGCCCTGTGGAAGGCAAGATGCTACTTGTGATCGTCGACAGCCACAGCAAGTACATCGACGTGCACGCCGTTCCATCTGCTACGTCGACAGCTACCATTGGCAAGCTTCGTGAGTGTTTCGCTACACATGGTCTTCCGCAACAGCTTGTCTCGGATAATGGCTCAGTGTTCACCAGCTCGGAGTTTCAACAATTCTGCTCAAGTAACGGTATCAAGCATACCTTGGTTTCACCCTACCACCCAGCAAGCAACGGTCTTGCTGAACGAGCAGTTCAAACAGTCAAATCCGGCTTGAAGAAATTGTCAGGTGCTGGTGGAGACCTAGCGTCACGGTTACACCGCTTTCTGTTTCATTATCGCTTAACGCCTCAGTCAACAACAGGCCAGTCACCATTTCAGCTGCTTATGAAACGCACGCCACGTTCTCGTCTTGACCTGACGTTTCCAGATACATCAGCACGTGTCTTGAACAGGCAAGGTGCTGCTGTTGACCGTCGCACAGCTCGGGCGTCGGATCTCTGTTGTGGTGATGCTGTTTGGGTGATTAACTTCACATCGACGCCTAAATTATGCCTGGTGTGCTGGAAGAATGTCTTGGTCCAGCCACATTTACTGTACGTCTGGATGATGGTCGCATATGGAAGCGCCATGCTGATCACATTAGACGCCGTCTTCCGTCCGAGGGAGGAGAAATGCTACCCGAGAGTGCAGGCATATCCGACCGGTCATCACCGCCATCGACTTCAACTTCAACTTTGGCAACTGCACAGCCGCCGTCACAGGCAGATGCCGAATCACCACAGCCGTCACAGCCAGAGGTTGCCGCCAGCCGCCAGGATGTGGAATCAACATCGCTATCCTCTTCTGCATTTGCTGCACCTTCTGCTGAATCTTCTACTCAGTCTTCTGCTATCTCTGTTAATTCTCCTAGCTCTAATCTGCGCAGGTCTACACGCTCAAGGAAGTCCCCTGATCGTATGAACTTGTAACTGCAGACCTGCTGGGTTTTGCGTTCAGCTCTCTGTTGATATTTGCAGTTCCTTAGTGTGTTACATTGAACTCGCTTCTCGTATCAGCAACAAATTATAGTGAACTCATTTCTCATACTATTGCTTATGTGTTCCTCATCTAATGGTGGAGGGATGTGATATCCGTACTAGTGAGCTACCTCACGTGATAGATCATTATCTTTCTACTCCTCTACTCTAAGTTGTATCAGCCGCGCATGCTTTTCCGTTGTGCTGCTGAGCTTCTCTGTCGTTCTAGTTCGACGTTCTAGCTTTGATCTTGAAGTCAACAGTTCCCCTTTTGTCTTGTTCTGAACTGCTATGGTGTGATCATAATAGAGCTGGAGGTAAGGGAGCTGCGATCTCAGCTTGATGAGCGATCTCTGAGGTGAGCGATCTCGGCCGTTCAGCAAAATGGAGCTGATTCCGAGTAGCCGATTACTTTCTTGTGGCTTGCGCTGCTCTTGCCTGCACAGCGTAACAAGATAATCTATTTTGATGCGGCGCTGTATCAATCAGAATCACCCACCTGTCGCTCTCGAAATCCACTCGAACTCTAGCTAGACCTTTCAGGTACTAGCAAACTAACTTGCTTACCAAAATTGGGATGAAATGGGCTGCCAAGTAAGCATTGGCGACATATAAACAAAGCTGAAAGATAAGCGACAATATCGCTGACGCGGACCAAGTACAGGGTGCGACAGAGCTCTCGGCCATTGAAGAAAATGTCGAGTCACCTCCACCATTACACTGCGCTCTTTTTAGCCGACTAGACCCTCCTTCACACAACCATCACCACTGCGAAAATATTTTCATCGTTTTATTGCACATCGTCTCCACCGTTTTACATTGCATGAATAAAGTACACAAATGTCGGTTTAGCTCATCTTATTGATTGCGGTTATCAAATTATTGTCTCCTCGCCGTTTGTTTAAATATGTATATGACTATGTGTGACTGATCAGGCCATCTGTTGTTCTGACTAGTGTAACATGTATGATCACAGCTCGCAGGCAAAGACAAAAAATTGCATAGTGGGAGCATAGTGAAGGTGGGGCTGTTTGCCCTCAGCCGACCTGAGGTCTCGATGTCATGGGGACATAAAACGCACCGAACAGCTCCGAGCATGATCTTGTTCACTCTTGCCTATCATGTTACTCTTCTGCTTTTATAATTTGATCGTAGGCTTCAAAAGTGAACTCTGTGGCTGGAAAAGTTGTACAGTATCGGGGTTTTTTTTTTCGTAGGAAAGCCCACAACCACTCGGCCAAAGCGCTGGTTGCCATGGCATCAGCAGTAGATGTAGTTAACACTTCAGTGAACACGGAGGCAAAGCTGAACTTTTATTGCAATTGCTCACTGTCTTGTTAGTAGATAGTCTCTACAGTCCATTCAGGAAAAGCGGATAAGCGCTGGCTCTGGCCAGCTTCTGCATTATTTCGGTGATTTTTCGTGATTCTGTCGTACGCGGTGCAGTGCCGCGAGTTTTGAAACTTGAAAAGGTCCATAGAGGTACCTCAATTGCGGTTCGAACTGCACAATGTACTGTTATGCCAATGGGGTGAACGGCCTGGATTTTCTTGTTTTTTTTCCCAAATTCAGTGCTTTGGGCACAAAACCTGGCCGAAACTCTATTCTCGTTACGGCTTGCTATTTGGAGAAATAGACTTCAGAAACAAAACTGGAAGAGCATTCCATGGGGAATTGTCGAAACAAATTGTGAAAAAGCTCAAAATTTGACCCATTTATGACCGAAAGCAAGGATTATCATCTTTTTTATGAACGGACTGTAGACCAATATGTCATCATAAGTTATAACCAGACTTACTGAAGATGCAAGGACCCATAAGTTGCAATTATATGGGGTACTCTCAATTCTATAATGTAATAGTTTGGCAGTACTGTCTTGTCTTTAACTTGCTAGAATGAATATCTCCACCACCGCTGCTATTTGGATGCACAATATTGTTTCTTCAAAATAGTACACAGATGCCCAAATAATGTTGTGTCTTCGTGCATGCTTGATACCCTGAATGTCCTGTTCCTGCCGTAACATTGTCATCTCATGCGGGGGCGGGGGTTGACATGTTATTTATCACTCAAGATGTAAGTCGACGTTTTGACAACACCATACCGTCATTCTAGCGTTTGCAAATGCGCAACATGTGTGTCTGCTGTTGGCTGGTCTGCTTTCGTCGGTGTTGTGTGCAGTAAAAACCTGTGGCAGGGACCCTGTCGCTCCACAATACGGTAGCGTGGCGAACGGTTCGATGGACGTGTTCACCTCACGCCAATACAGCTGCGACAGTGGCTACCGCCTTGTGGGCCTCACAAGCACGGTGTGCTTAGCTACCCAGAGCTGGCTTGGCCCTGAGCCAACGTGCATTCGTAAGTCAAAGCTGTTCAAGCATAGGTTACACAACACAAATATCAAGGGCGTATAAGCCACCAAGAGTGTGCCACTCTGCATATGGGATCTCCGACGGCGAAAACTCACATCACGTGTCTCAGGTACGTTTCGTACTGTGTACAAACGAAGGATAGCATGCGCGCAATCCGAATATCTGCCATGATCATGCCGGGGATTTGCATATGCGCAGTGAGTTTCTGTCAGAGAGTGCTTCTTTCATTACTCCGCTGCTCGCTAAAAACGGGCTGGAAACGTACAAGTTACAACTGCGACCCTACACCATGTGATGTGAGTTTTCGCCGTCGGCGAACCCCATAGAAAGGGTATCGTGGGTTGCACACTCTCGGGGGGTTATATACCAGTACTTTTCCTGTTACTAGTGCACTTATACCTCTGTAATCTGGACCCCGAAGGTACAGGGCAACAAGTTGGTGAAGCTTGTAGCCGGTTTGCAGAATGCTGTAAAAAGTGGGTTTTTCGAACTTTACTTCCTGTTTTGCCTTTCGTGGACCCATAAATGGAAGAGCGCGTATTCATTTCTCAGCTTGGGTTCGTATCTGAACATGTATCACGGCTATCCTTCACTTAAAAAAGAGCACTTTTTGCCTGTTTTCACTGAAAAAAGAGCACTTTTTCAGCATATTTTGAGGGACGCGAAAAGCACTAAGTGCGAATTAAAAGAGCACCTTTGGGAAAGGGCTACTTGGGACGGGATCCCGCCTCCCTGGGCCAGCCCGCTTGAAAAACATGTGAACGCACAACAGGTTTTGTGTGGATTCGTGTGCAAGGCCGAGATCCCACTAGCAGGCTGGCTGGCCCGCCTGTCGACCAGCCCGGAAGCGCATGTAGGCCGATAGCATAATATAACGTGGAGCACATTACATACCTTTACAGTCTCCTATCCTGTCCGAAGGCATCAGCAATGGCTACTGATCTTCAGCAACTTGGGGCCTGTAATATGCATCCTGTCTATGCTTTTGTAATACTAACATAATGCTCGAGATAGCACTCGCTACTGATCTTCAGAAACTTGGCCTGATTATCACTCACAATAAGACTGTTGTAATGGTGATCGTTCCCTAGCGGTTGCTCCTTCCTTCCACAATTTCATCGTATTGTTTTACGACATGCTGCACGACATCATTTTACCGTACAACACCGTACACCACCGTACAACACCGTATACTGTAAATATACAAATTTTCGGCAGCTATTTAATTTCGGCTATAGTCGGCACCGACCCAAAACGCCTAAATTAAAACGCCGATGAAATTTTTCACAGCATCTGTCACACTATACCGTGCCCTCTACCCCACGCCGGAAATACATCGCCGCCGAAATGTCAAAAATCGTGAAGTGCCGAAATTTTGCAGCGCCGAAATTTTGTATATTTACAGTACCGTGTTATCTCTAAGCCCAGTCTCTTGTAGAACCCAGTGTCTATTTAGAAAAGCGATCCTGGCAGCTTTTCTATTATTGTGTTCACATGGCAAGACCTAACGACACCGCTATTCAGACACGTAGTTATAAGCGCACTCCAAGTGCATGTGGGCTTCAAAGATATACAAGCGCAGTCAACCCACGCCCACCGCTCTACCAAGTCGATTGTTGAAAGGAGGCGTAGGCCTGTTCGCGGACATGCTGCAGTTCCGTTGTCCCGAGGTGGCCCATCTACCGAGGGGCGCCGAAAAGGAGGCGTAGGCCTGTTTGCGGACATGCTGCAGTTCCGTTGTCCCAAGGTGGCCCACCTACCGAGGGGCGCCATGCATTCGGACGTCAGCAACAGTTTTAGCACAAGCACACTATCAAGGTAAGGACATTATTGTATTATTGTATTGTATCGTATTGTATGGGATATGATTTTACCTCATTGGCTCAACAGGTCAATGTATTACTACAAAAAGGCCAGAAAATCCGATTATATGGAGATAAACAGGAAAAGAAGGAGCAAACCAAAAGTGGATGAAGTGAGAGAAAACTAACAATCCGCAATAAATTCTGCAAATACTTTTGCCTAGCTCATATTCAAACTGATTGAAATTTGAAACGTTTTTGCAATACAATGATGTAGCCAATCAAAGGAAAAAAAACCATTTCCATCAGTTCACATGCACGATGAGCTAGGCAAAAAAAGCATAGCGTCGGACCCTGAGCTTCTAAGCTCTCTCGTTATTAACCCTTTCCATGCCATTGATGCGTTTACGCGTTAGAATAATGGCCTTTACAGTACTGTTCATGAGTATTATCGGATTTTTTGTCTCAGAGGAAACAGTACTGAGCCATGGCCATTATAAACTTTCGTGTGCAAACTAGACAATGCCGTGTAGACGCAAGGTGACACTGATATGGTTGGGAACTCAAACCTCGCACAAGAAATTGAATCTTTTTAAAAGAACGAAAGGACCTAAGTTTACTTGTTGCTAGCAAAGCAAAGCGAGGTACGTTGGTTCTTTGGTTCAACTAGAATGGAATAATAATGATTGTAGGCCATGACTATTGTATGTACATTCTGTTTTAGGGTCTACATGCAAGAAAACGCTTGTGGCGCCTCAGGATGGACAGATTGCCAACATTTCAGTTGAAATATTTGGCACAACTTCGTTTGAGTGTGATGATGGGTTCATGATCGTTGGCTCCCGCGCATCTGTGTGTCTTCCAAGCGAGACTTGGTCGCATCCACCACCAACGTGCACACGTGAGTCATCTTTGGGCACGTAGAATATTATGCTCCGTAATGGTGTAATACCAGCACTAGTTGCTATGTCTAACATAGCTGTTCGCAATCATTGCTTCTGCGGTGGGCAGGTCTGAGGTCTGAGGTGTGTGTGTGTGTGTGTGTGCATGTGTGTGTGTGTGTGTGTGTGTGTGTGTGTGTGTGTGTGTGTGTGTGTGTGTGTGTGTGTGTGTGTGTGTGTGCATGTGTGTGTGTGTGCATGTATTTTGCATGTATATGGGTGTGTGTGTGTAACACCGCTCAGAGAAGGGATTGTCTCATGCTGAAGAGTGAAGCAGGGCCTATAATGACTGTTTGAATTGATTGTACTGAAGAATATTCGATGAACTCAATGCCTACATAACTATTACTCATCATATAGGAATGATTAACTATCTCAGTCTCTCTTTCCCTCTCTCCTCCCCCCCCCCCCTCTCTCTCTCTCTCTCTCTCTCTCTCTCTCTTTCCTCTTTTCTTTCTCTTTCCTCTTTCTCTTTCTCACTCTCTCGCACACGCTGAAACACACATGCTATGGTGCAGGAATCGAGTGTCCATCCGCTGTCCCGACCGTCATCAACGGCATGGTCATTGGCGGCGGGCATCATGTAACTAACGTTCGCAAGATTGTCTGCTATGCCGGATACCGGGCGGATGGTCCCGACACCTTGGTTTGTCAGCCGAATGGAACCTGGTCTCATTCCACGCCATCTTGCAAACGTACGTACATTCTCTCTCTTCTCTCAGCGATGTTTAGGAGTAGTTGTTGAGCTGCTGTGAGGAAGCGCCTAGGAACTAGCACCATGCCTACTTTACCTCACCTTACTAGTATTCACATCACCACCACATGGAGAGCCCTCCCTACACCCAGGAAAACCTAGGCGGCCATCAGTTCCACATATTACTGTTGAGTACGAAAAGGACGTCTAGGATGCATGCAGCATTGGCCGGATTTCTTCGGCGAGTGCAGTAGGTCAATCAGGGACCCTAGGATAGAAAGCACTGCCTCAAGCTCCAACACCAGGCACCTCTCCAGATGCCTGCACGCCAAACACTGGAGCGTGGTAACTGGAGCGTGGCAACTCCAAACAACGAGGAATCCTCCCCCAGACTTTCACTAGCAGCAAGGCTCTGGAGAAGTCAGAACAAGTTTGAGGAAGTTTCGATTTGCTTGATCCGAACAAGGCCTTTAGCTATTGCTTTCAAGGATATCCATGTAGGCACAGGTCTGTGTGGGATGGATGTGAACACTGATCGGATGCAGTAAGTTGCCATGGCGCTGGTTTCTTCTTAGGTCATTCATGCATGCTGTACCCGCGCTCACTTTGGGTCCAAGTTTCAGTCGTTTTTGGGCCCATTTCGAGGTGGTGGCCAGTTGTAAGGTGTTCTGAAGTTGTGCAATGACTTCTTGCGCATGGCTGTTGTACACCCCAAAGGCAAGCTGCTTCAATTTTTCAGCTTGGTTATTCTGGTTACCGCGGAGATCCTCTAATAAATGAACTCTGTTTTAGTTCCGGCAGTGTGAGACCAGTGATAGGGGGCTGAAGGCTGTGCTGTCCACGCAATGCAGAACAAATGGCCACGATTCTGAGTACCTGCGGGCCATGCCATTGTGTAGAGGAACGGCATCATCTAATAACATTAAAAATGTTGTGTGAATGGCACGGCCAGCCACTCTGTTACAAACATCTGCAAGCGTACCTGTATGTGTGGTGAAGTTGCATAATCTCCCCTCTGCTTTGCTTTGGTAAATTTCACATACTACCTCAGGGGCGTCATAAGGTATTTTAGTGTGGTACGGTCAGCCACCTGAAATGCAATTTACTCGTGGGGAAGGGGTGGCCAAGCCGAAATCTTTTGGAATTTTGTTGCCCAAATCAGTGTATTATAACTGTTACTAAGTCTTATTCACGGGGCAACTGGGGCAAGGTATGTCTCTGCATGAGAATTGCCAGTTGGCATCTGACAGAGATGCCTGGCAGTCACACTGTGCATCTACTGCTTACACAGCTGCATAATGCCGTTTATTATTTTTTATTATTTTAACTTATTATTTTTTTCGGCAACGCAGATGATGATGATGATGATGATGATGATGATGATGATGAACTGGGGCAAAACGTGGCACGGTCAATATCGTAGTGACCGTGCCGTGTCCGACGCCCCTGCACCGTTATCTAACAAAGCTGTGCACAAGTAGCAAGAGCACGCCAATGCGGAAAGCATGAGTGTGAAGGTTTGCATTTGCCGGTGTATGGATTGGTGTTCTGTTCACCTGCAGGTAACGTCTGCGGGGCTCTGCCTGGCATTAACTATGCCAGCATTCAGACTGCAGCCGGACCCCTCGTACCGGGCAGCACAGCATTCATCAAGTGCAATGAAGGTTACGAGCTGCGTGGCGGTGTCCAGATTGTTTGTGATAGCCTTGGTCGCTGGAACACTAACATTACCACTTGTGAGCGTAAGTTTGTCACCAAGAACCCGTCATGAGTATGGTTTTCAGAGTAAAAAGGAGATGATTATAGGATGCTGTGACCCACACAACGCTTTGCTTGTACATGATATGTACTCATCAAGAAAATAAAAAGGTGGCGCTCGCACTCTGAAGGGTGGCATGTTCATTTTGAAAGGGACGGTCAAAGAGTGAAGGAGGGCGCAGCGCCCCTCTATGTCACTTTGGCGAGAACCCTGATAGGATGTAATGTATTGGATGTATGACGTCGTGTATTGGATGTATGACGTCGTTTATTGGATGTATGACGTTGTGTATTGGATGTATTACGTCGTGTATTGGATGTATGATGCCACGTATTGCATAATATGATGTCATGTATTGGGTGTAGTATGTCATGTATTGGATGTATGATGTCAGGTATTGCATGTATGACGTCATGTAGCGGATGTATGATGTCAGTTATAACATGTATGATGTCATGGATTGGGTGTAAGATGTCATGTGTTGGATGTATGATTGGGTGTGTCCATTTACAGGCATTACCTGTTCGGATCTGTCCGCCCCTAGTAATGGGTCACTTCAATCAACAGGACCACCATACTTCCTTAGCGTGCGCAATTTCAAGTGCAGCTCTGGTTACGAGCTGCTGGGATATCCATCTACCGTTTGCCAGTCGAATGGAACGTGGTCCAGGCCATCTCCATCCTGCAAACGTAAGCCCCTTTTGTTCGCATGTGGGCCACACACATCAGAAAGCTACCAATTCACTTCCAGACTGCAATGTTCATAGGGGCGAAAAATGAATGCCTGTTCCCCACATTTGGAACAAACAATGATCATTGGAACTGTAATCGATAATCGGATAGGCTAACTGTTTGTTTGTTTGTTGTTTGTTTGGCTTTATTTAGAGTGGAGTTCCAAAACAGGCCTAAACCTAATGACAATGGTCCCACTGATATTAAGAGAAAAGAAAAATATATAAAAAGAAGCGGACAAACTGATGGACAGAATCTGTAATTAAACTACCTGGATACTCGCTGTGCAGTTAGTCCGAGTTCTCTAAAACGAGATACGCACACGCATAGCACGATGCTGCCACCCATGTTGTTTGCCTATGATAGCTGCTGTGTTTGGCCTCTTCTCACATTCCCGGTATTGACCGCTGACGGGAAGGGAGCAAATTCCTTCGGTTCCTAAACACTGGCTCTTCCAGACAGACATATTGTTCAGGGCAATACGGACAACCCACGTCACGACCACACATCGAAAACTACTGCTCGCTTGAAGACTGTATAAAGTGTATTCACAAACAAAAACAAAAACTCAAAACTCAAAAACTTTGAAAAGAAACTAAACATAAAGGCCACGAGGTCCTCTCGGCGCCTCGCGCACCAAGACTATCTACGAAAATGGAGGCATCGCAGTTCGCCTTCAAGGAAACAGAAACTATCGCAGCGAAGCGGTGAAAACTGCAAGAAAGCGAAGCCATAGGCATAGATCACGGACACAACAGAAAAAGCCTGTACCGAAGAAAGCGCACAGTGCACTGTACATTTAGCAAAAAAATAAAATAAAATCAAGACTGTTCAAGCGCAAAAAACACATGTTCACGTCATGTTCAAGGAAATTCAAACGAAGAGAAAAAGAGAGTAGAGAAGTTTAGAGACGAACAAGAACGAAGAAATGGAGAAGAGAAACGTTCTTGAGATGAAGAGTAGAGAGAAGAGCAGAGAGAAGAGAGAGACAGACTGGAAAGCAGTTCTACAGAAGACGTGAGAGAGAAGAAAGGTGAGAGAATAGACAGAATGAAAATAGCAAAGACAAAGTCCACAACAAATTCAAACAATGTCGATCCTGTTCACAAGTTCAACCATCAGGCAGGAACACATATTATTGATGATAGTTGTATTAGCTACATGTAAACAATATTTCACCGCCGTGACATATGCATACACGTCACAGGGGTGTAGCTGGTCCCCCTTTTAGGGGGGTTCCCCTTTGGGGGGGGGGGGGGGGGTGCGCGCTGCCGCATATGTGTAGGCTGGCCGGCGCATGTCATTCACGGTCATTATGTGCATGCTAACTAGGTCGACATATTTAGGGCGTGCACGTTCCCCCCCCCCCCCCCATGTACCCCATGCAGGCTATGCGCCTCCATCATCATTGTTAACTGAAGAAATGTGAGAGTTTGTTGTCGTCTGCTCGTGTTTTGTGTTGTATGCTGCGTGCAGTCATTCAGTGTGATGGAGGGCCAGTTCCTCCAGGCAATGGCTCTGTTGTCATACCGCCTTCGCCTGGCAAGGTTGTGGGCAGCGTGCGACATTTCCGATGCAGGGAAGGCTTCGTACTGAACGGGCATAGCTATTCGTTCTGTCAGAGCAACAAGAAATGGTCTAAACCGCCGACGACTTGCAACCGTAAGCCCTTGTCTTTGGCTTTTTGTTCCAGACACAATCACAAGACAAAGGAGTGCAGTTGACGGGAATCAACTCACGGGACTTTCCCCTAATGACTTTCCCGTCAGAATGTGTTCACTGGCCTCAGTGTAGTGTGCAGTGCTGCTCGGTGAAATCTGTTTGCACCAGGCACGTCTGCACGCCGCAGCAGTGCACATCGCGGCGTTCATAGGTCCGAGGCTGCACGGCACGCGACCTTACGTGCAGCGACTGGCGCTATCGGATTTCAGTGAGCAGCACTCTAACGTTATGTGCCTCAGATGCACTGTGCATTTAGCCTAGACTGGCACCCTTCTCTGTGCTGTCTTGCAAGTACAGTCGACTCCTGATAATATAAACACCATTGCAAGTACAGTCGACTCCTGATAATACAAACACCATTGCAAGTACAGTCGACTCCTGATATAACAAACACCATTGCGCAGGAGAATTAGTTCTTTATAGCCGAAGTTTGTTATAACAGGAATGTACTCACACCATACAAGCAGCAAGTCATGACTGGCAAGTGTCCCAAGACAGTATTGAGTGCCCTTGGTTTACATGCGGCCCTACAAGACTTGGTTCGCTATAAACGAAACCTGTTCGCTATAAAGGGTCAGTTTCGCATGGGTTCAAACAGGGACATGGACAAGGGTTCGCTATATCATGAAATTCGCTATATGCGAGTTCGTTTATATGTTGAGCGGACCGTAGACATTGAGTGGTACATATGTGGATCAGAACTGTAATTACTGCATGGTATGACTCATGCATTTCTTTCTTGCCACGCACACCTTGAACCTTGAATGTGCCCATTGCCGAAGGCAATGATAGCGAAAAGACTAATTTGGCCGCAACCGGCAGAAAGGTTCGTGGTGCTTGAGGTCGCTGGGGTGGCGACCTGTCTACCCGCATGCACAATAGGAAAATTTGGCTCGGCGCGGACATCACGGGGCCGAGGATGACGGCAAGAGTAGATATACCTGAGTGTGCAACTCGCGGATGGGTTGGCACGTACACACACATACACACGCGCGCACACACACACACACACACACACACACACACACACACACACACACACACACACACACACACACATACACACACATATACATACACACACACATTTGGGAGTTCTGTTGATCTCCGTAGCAGATGATGCAGATGGTCACGGCCCTGCTTCTCTCTTTTTTTCTGTTCTTTAAAAATCTTAGCCCATCCTTGCTTAGCTCCATACAACATCAGCAACGCTGTGATCCGCCCTGGTCAACAACCGTATGTTTACCTAAACACACTAACTGTCGACTGTGATCCTGGCTATGAGGGAGGCGGTGAGATCCAGTGCGAGAAGAACGGCTTTTGGAGCACGGTGACATGCGATCGTGAGTAGACCAGTGAAAGAGGAAACTGTGGAGAAAGAGACATACATCAGCCTGATGGGGTGAACTCATGGTCACAGCCACCCATGCACAAAGTTCCTCACCCCTCCCCTACCCTTCCCTTCCTTCTTTCCTTCCGTCTCACCTCCCCTTCCCTCCACTCCCCTTCCCACCGTTCCCTTCCTCCCCTCTCACCTCGCCTTCCCTCCCCTTCCCTCCCTTCCTTCTCACCTCCCCTCCCCTCCCCTCCCCTTCCCTTCCCTTCCCTCCCTTCCTTCTCACCTTGCCTTCCCTCTCCTTCCCTTCCTTCCTTCCCCATTCCATCCTTCCCTCTCGTCTTCCCCCGCCTTCCCTCCCCTTCCCTTCCCTTCCCTTCCCTTCCCTTCCTTCCTGCCCTCTCACCTCCCATTCCCTCTCCTTCCCTCCCTTCCTTCTCACCTCCCTCTCCCTCCCGTCCCTCCACTCCCCTTCACTTCCTTCTTTCCCTCTCACCTCCCCTTCCCCTTCCCACTCACCTCTCCTTCCCTTCATTCTCTCTCACCTCCCCCACCCTTCCTTCCCTCTCACCTCCTCTTCCCCGCTCCCGCCCCCATACCTTGGTGGGTGCACTGTCCCAAACGCGTATGTTTGAATGAATCACTAGTTTTCTTCAGAGACGTTTTTTACCTTTTAAACTCCCTCATCCGATGAACATTTTTGTAGCCTTTCGCTTCATTTGCCATGATGTCTCTGCATGCTTCATATGATTGCTTGTCCGCAGCTACGGAGTGCCCCAAGCCAAACAACCCAGAGAACGGACGTGTGTTCGTCGAGAACGCTTTCTTTGGCTCAGTGGCAAACTTTGTTTGCGACGCTGGCTTCTTCCTGGATGGTTCGTCCAACATCACGTGCAAAGACGATCGGTCCTGGACCAGCCACCAGCCAAGATGTGAACGTAAGTATGGTCCGTTAGTATGGTCTATAGGGGCGCTGGAAGGCATTTCGGGTTGGTACGGTCAGCCATCTGAGGTATACTCGAGGTGGAGGGAATCTGGAACATTTTTAAAGCCCAAATCGGGGCATTTTACAGATTTGCGGGGTGCTCGGGGCACCTGGTGGTACGGGCAAGAGCGTGTCCGATGCCCCCACGGTCTATGCGTCGTAAGTGAATTTCATTCTTCCTGTTACCAGCACCGTGCCAACTCCACACTTAGACGAGTTGCGAGATAATTACTGAGAAGACTATTTATCATGAGTAGACTGCCAAATGTGGTATAGATGCTGGCCTAACGTTTTTGGAACCAGAGGTCTATACTTTTGAAATGCACTATCTATGCGCCTTGTCGTGCCGTCCCATGTTTTGTTTTCCTCCAGCCGTTACGTGCCCAACGCTGACCGCACCTGGAAATGGCGCTGTGTCTAAAGGCGCAGAGGATGTGGATGCCATTCGCAGATTCAGCTGTAACCCTGGGTACAAGCTAATTGGCCACTCCACGGTAGTATGCCAGTTGAAGGGACAGTGGTCGTGGTCTGCACCTACCTGCCAATACGTGCGTAAGTTACTGAATTTCCAGGCATGCCACGTTGTTCTAAAACGTTTTGTCAGGTTTTGTGTGTGTGTGTGCGTGTGTGTGTGTGTGCGTGCATGTGTGTGTGTGTATGTGTGTGTGTATGTGTATGTGTGTGTGTGTGTGGGTGTGTGTGTGTGTATGTGTGTGTATGTGTATGTGTATGTGTATGTGTGTGTATGTGTATGTGTGTGTGTGTGTGTGTGTGTGTGTGTGTGTGTGTGTGTGTGTGTGTGTGTGTGTGTGTGTGTGTGTGTGCGTGTGTCCCATATGGTGCGGTGGTACATGTATGTGCAGTCGATTTCCAATCGAGAGGTTGCGGGTTCAATTCCCGACGATTATGGTCACACTTTCTTCTCTTTCCCAGACTCCTCCTGACTTTCCTTTCATTCTCCTGGGCGGTTACCAACAGCAAGTGCAAGCCGGAGTATGTGGCTTGATGTGTGTGCGGGAAAAAAGAAGAAGAAAAAGACCAAAAAGTACGGATTCACTGGCCAGAAAAAAACACTTCATAGCTGTGTGATGTAGGCCAGGCTGAATAGTGACGGTTAAGCTGTTGGATGGCGCAATCCCAGCACAAGTTGCTATTGCTTCTGCTGTAGCATCGCTATCATCGCCTCTGGCGATGGGCGTCAAATTGGTTGTGCCAGTGTGTGAGCTGGTTCGGTTGATGGGTTCACTTATGCCAGAGAGTGTTGGGTCTGTTGCAAACAGGCTAGGTTGTTTGACGGTGTATTGCTGTACCTGCAGTCACCCTGCAGCCCCCCCCCCCACACACACACAGTCACCCTGCAGTCCACACACACACAGTCACCCTGCAGTCCCCCCCCCCCCCCCCACACACACACAGTCACCCTGCAGTCACCCCCCCCCCCCCCCCCACACACACAGAGTACGTGCAGTCACTCTGCAGCCCCCCCCCCACACACAGCACCTGCAGTCCCCCCCCCCCCTCCACACACACAGTACCTGCAGTCACCCTGCAGTCACCCTGCACTCCCCCCCCCCCCCCCCACACACACACAGTCACCCTGCAGTCACCCCCCCCCCCCCCACACACACAGAGTACGTGCAGTCACTCTGCAGCCCCCCCCCCCCCACACACACAGCACCTGCAGTCCCCCCCCCTCCACACACATACACACACACAGTGCCTGCAGTCACCCTGCAAACACCCCCCCCCCCCTCCCCCCCCACACACACACACTCAAACACACTACAATCTAGGGCCGAAGATTTTCCTTCGATCGCTCCGTGTGGCACTGATCCTGACGTTTGGATACATAGACCCCGGTTCCATACCGAAAGTCAGTTTCATACGGCAGGAGAAGTGTGGCTTTATTATTTTGCGCACTACATGGATGGGGCTGGTTGGTGTTATGTAGGCAATGTACCACAACTGGCATATAGAAACGTATTGAAGTTGCACACTCTCTGTTATGCATGCTTGACACCTACCCTGCTGCTTTCTAAAGAACTCTTCTTTAACAACCAGTGCCACTTGTTTGCGTACATGTGTGCGTGCGTGTGAATGTGTGTGTGTGTGTGTGAATGTGTGTGTGTGTGTGTGTGTGTGTGTGTGTCCGTGTGTATGTGTGTCACGTGTGTTTGTGTATGTGTGTGTCGTGTGTGTGTGTGTGTGTGTGTGTGTGTGTGTGTGCGTGTGTGTGTGCGTGTGTATGTGTGTCACGTGTGTTTGTGTATGTGTGTGTCGCGTGTGTGTCGTGTGTGTATGTGTACGTGTGTGTGTATATCTGTATATGCATCCTGGTCTGCACTGAGCAGCAACCGCAGCTCCCACCACACCAGCAGCTACCACCGTGCCAACCACACAGCCCTCGACGCAGCCCACCACACCGGCCACAACACCGCCGGGAACACCCGAGGCCTCGTCCGGATCTAGCACTGTGGCTGCCGGTGCCATAGGCTTTGTGATTGCGCTGGCATGTCTGGGGTTGGCCGGCGGTATTGTCTATCTGACGCGCCTGAACAGCGCCAAGCAGCAAATCAGCGGCTCCACCAAGACAGCCCCCGTGGAGCGGCGGGGATCCACCATGCCGCTCACGGAGGTGTCCATGGCCCAAAATGACACCTATGATGACATCTCCGCCTTGCGATCCCAGTACCAGCTGAAGAAGGCCGCCGGAGGAGTTTGAGGGATGCCTTTTGATCTTCATCCTGGTATTTTAACAAAGTACCTACAAATTGTTCGCATTTATTATGTATGATTGCCAGTCTGCATTATGGGCCCAATCCAGTGGACATCAACAAATCTAGTGCCACTTTTGAAGGAAAACATCAGTAGTCGCTCAACATGGCCATCTTTTAGATAAAAAACAACGCTGAACGCTCTCCCCTCCATCTGCCTGTGTGTCTGTCCGCCCTTTTGTCCGTCCGTCCGTCCGTCCGTCCGTCTCTCTCTCTCTCTCTCTCTCTCTCTCTCTCTCTCTCTCTCTCTCTCTCTCTCTCTCTCTCTCTCTCTCTCTCTCTCGCTCTCTCTCTCGTGCGCTCTCTCTCGCTCTCTCTCTCGCTCTCTCTCTCTCTCTCTCTCTCTCTCTTTCTCTCTCTCTCTCTCTCTCTCTCTCTCTCTCTCTCTCTCTCTCTCTCTCTCTCTCTCACTCTCTCTCTCTCTCTCTCTCTCTCTCTCTCTCTCTCTCTCTCTCTATCTCTATCTCTCTTTCTTTCTCTGCTTTTCTCCGTCTCCCTGTCTCTCTGTCCATTCATTTAGTAGTTTCTCGGAGTTGTGTAGGATAATTCCAAGCTAAGGCAGAATAGACAAATTGATGAATGGTCTTTAGACCATCTTGATAAGTAATACTTAGCGGATGTTCCAAGACGTGTCAGGGAATTTTAGACCGAATTGAATACGGCATTAATTTTATTGTTATTCTCCTTGAGCGAGATTCAGATTATATTTTTTGATTGCCACGTCTTACGAAAGTTGACGAAATGCACTTATCTTGCTGAATGTGCCAGAGATCTGTTATTTTCATTTCACTTGATTCTCCTCCTCCCATCTAAAGGACTTGATGTGGCGGCCATCCTTGAAGATAATTTGTAATGAAGAAGAGTGCAGATAACCAGTTGACCCTGCCTGGTGTGCTTGTCACTGTGTTCTGGAGTGGTAGATGGCTCGTTTCTGGAAATTTTCACGGGGATGGGCGTAGCACCTTCCTTGTTGGAAGGGTGTCGGAGTGCGCATCCAAGACGTGCTAGAGCTGATAGCCGGTTTGTTCTAGAACGTCCCCGTATATAGACCAGCTCAACCATTTGCTACCGGCACTATAGGCTAGTACTGATGGCTTGTCTTGATATCATTCGGGAGAAATCACACCATCACACCATCCGATCACCCGAGTCAAATCCCACTGGGCAGTGGGCACAGTTACAGACCTGCATTATGCTGGCTCAGAGCGCTGGTAAGGGCGTGTTCAGACTGCCGAGAACCCCGTCAAACCGAGATTTGCACCATCGGTAAACTAACGTTACCTCTGCAGCTCTCACAGCGAAACTGAGAAAGGATTTTGCAGCGCTCATATCCTGAGTACCTTTTTTAGTAATTTTTACTGCTGGAAATGGGTTTTCGCCGCAGCACCCACAGCAGTAAAACGGTTCGCCTCCAAAAATCCCGAGCCGTCATGAGGTCAAATCACCTTGGAAACTTTCCATTCCGTCACTTTTCATCGGTAGCCTCAACTCTCCCTAAAATGATCTCCTCCTCATCTTTGAGGGGAGTCGCACTCGGCAGCGGTAGTGTGCCAGAACAGATCAAGAGCAGGCACCACCCGATAGTTGTCTTGATACTGTCCGTGCGTGGAGGGTCTGCCGTATGGGTTCGCACTTAGCATGCACCTGCTCCTCGTGACGGGGGTTACTGTTCACAACGATGGAGGAAACCAGGCGCTAGGCGAGGAAGACGAAAAGCAGGAGGGAGTCACACAACCCATTAAAAAAAAAGAGGGTAAATTATCGTGTCCGTTCCCGAAGGGAACTCACGACGGCCGCTAACACCCGATAAACCCTTACGGCAGATGCAGCGCCTAACGGTGGGGGTGAGTGAATAAGTCTCACAACCACTGGCACAAGTGCCGAAAACGACCCCATCAGCTGCATCCATGTACCCCTTGTGCCTGGCCACAACTTCACACACGTTCCCAGTTGACTGTGGGTAGCAGCACGGCTGGAAAACCGCTCCAACATCTCATTATACATGAGTCACATGACTGATTGTAATCTTCTACAGCCTTTAGATAATACTAACTTAATAAACATGTTTAGCTTTTACAGCTTGTATACTGGTCCTGCACTGACCCTGTGACTGTCTGCATAATCTGTGATCATCCCGATCATTTGCGAGAAGCATGCACAGCAATACGATATATTCTCTGTAAAGAGCACTTAGGGTTCCCTGTAACAAGACGGCAACGTCTGTAGGGCCTTCCCTATCAAAATAATAAATTCTACTACTACTACTATTCTATTCCTCTACTGATCCCCCGTCCATGCACACCTTCTCTGACGAGTCTTTTATTTTGTAGGCTAAACAACTACCAGGAGGGTTTTCAGTACATGTGCCAGTACCGGTGACCGCAACGATTCATCATCGGAATTTTTGGTTTGTAGTCGGCTGATGAGCGCCTGGAGGAGAGAAGTAGTAGCAGATTGTACTATTGAAAGGCCGAATGGTACCATTGACCATTGGAGCATGCACAGCAAGTTGCCGCCTCTCAAGTCCACGCATGCCGGGTGTCAGAACTGTATGTTAGGGGGGCACGGTCAGCCTTCACAGCCTTCACAATTTGCTTGTTGCGAGAGGGTGGCTATGCCAAATACTTCGAAGGATCGAGCCTACAAAAATGTAAATCAGTGCATTTAACGGATTGATTCCCAGAGTACCCGGGGAAAGCGTGGTACAGTCAATACCGTAGTGACATCATCGTGTTCCACCTCCCTGCCCATACCACGTTCAACCTTATTCTGTAATGGAAGAATTTTCAAGCGGCATCTGATATTGAGAAATTCAATGGCTATATTGCCAAGTTGCTATATTGCCAAGTTAATGCATAGTATTGGTCGACGAGGAGTTGCGAGAAAGAAATGACCAGAGAGAACTTTCAAAATTTTGGCAGAGATAGCGCAAGCAAATGCTCTGAATAATAAAAGGAAGAATTAAAGAAGGATACTGAGTCAATAAAATAATTGAAATAGAAGAAATCACATGGAAACGAGTTATGAAGCAACTACCCAGGAGTGTAACTGTAACAGTGTTGTGCCCTGTTATCGCACTTTCTAACTGCTTATTATCTTGTTACAGCCATGGATTGTTGCCATAACTCGTTTCCATGTGATCTCTTCTATTTTAAAGAAAGAAGGAGACGTAGATGTCCGTCTCTGTTCCAAGGGGAACCACGACATAATTCGACATTAGTGCACTACATGGAAGGCAATGATTATGATGATCTTCACATTTACTTCTGAAGTAGGAAATTCAGTGAAAATATCTCCACTGAAAACAAATGTTTTCAAGTATCGCAATTGGAATACTTTCTTTGCTGTTCTGTCTCGTTTTTCTCTTCCTGCTCGTGCCACTTGATACTGTTCAGGCAACGCACTGATACGATATTGTTCACCAAACGACGCCGTGAAACATGAGAGAGAGAAACGTTTTTCCTGCAAAGTGTGTAGCATATCATGCATGTCATGTGCTTGTGCACCGTTCCCCATCAGTGGCATCATCCCAAGTTTGCTGTGAAGTGCAAGAAGATATTGCACTTGAACAAGCGAGGGAATGCCCTGCTGAGTTCAGCAGAACACAACTAGCTGGGAGGTGACGAGCAAGGTGGCTGCACACACTGCCCATGCGCGCTTTGTGACAAGTGCATTGCTTTGCCCGAATTGCCTGCTCACACGCACCATTTCTCGGGTCACCTCAATGACTTGTCTGACAGATCACTGTGCAACATCTCGGTAACACTGTCACAAGCCAATCGTGATATAGGGCTGACTGGAGGAATTGCAGTGCGAGAGTTCATTGCCTCGTAAGTACTGGGCTCATCCCATTCCATTCTTTGCTTGCTCGTCCTTCTCTGGGACCTGTCCAGTGAGGGCACGTCAGAATAATTGGATGGGTTGGGCGACGACAGATAATCCGGCAAGAAGGACGTGCTTATCGTGCTCTGCTTCGGCTGCATGTGGGACCGATCGTGGACAGTTTGTGTCATGGCGATGGCTGCACCGCTGGGAGTTGTCGATTCCCTTTGCAGCCTGAGCGTGTACATATCTGAGTAATTTTCCACGTCTTCATTGCCGGTAGTTGTTACTAGAGATGGCCTGCTCTCGCAAACTGTTAATTCGCTGTGGGACTTCCTTTGAGCTGTTCCATTGTTGAAGATGACTCCACCGTTCACTGCTGATGATTTCCGCCTCTCCGACTCTGGTGTGGCGGAGTACAGGTCCGAGTAAACCGATTGACGGCTTTTCAACGATAATGGGGACTCGACAGTGCCAGCCATGGACGTAATGCTATGCTTTAGTTTATACACATTCTGTGTGGCTCTACTGCTGGGCGTGAAGGCACTAGGATCGCTTGCTGAGACTTTTCGTTCTAGCGTTTGCCTCACTGTGTACGTGTCGGCGTATGCATTGTTTTCAGTGGCAGGCGTTGGTGTAGATGAGACAGTCCTTCCGCTCTTGTACAGATTCTCGGTAGGTTTTTGCTTGGAGTTGACGATATCTGTTTGTTTTGAAGACTGCTGTTGTCTAGAGTAGATGAGAAAGACTAGGAGAAGTATTCCTAGGACAGCAATGGCTGCAATCACTGCAATGCTACTTGATTGGGCCAGCCAAGAGGCTGTTCTGCCGGCGCCCGCGGTCGTTGGGTCAGTTAGAACTGGAGAGGACACACAGAGCAGGAGACACACACACACACATGCACGCACGCACGCACACATGTACACACACACACACACACACACACACACACACACACACACACACACACACACACACACACAGAGCAGGATACACAAAACACATATACGCAGAGGTTAAAAAAAAGGACACGAGAGCAGGCCAGGAAGAACCAGTCTGGTTGGCCACTAACATGACTGTGTGTACTGCGGAACGGATAATGTGTATACCCTCCATGTCATACACAAACTGTATGAAAGTCATGTGTATATCCTCCATGTCATACACAAACTGTATGAAAGTCATGTGTATATCCTCCATGTCATACACAAACTGTATCAAAGTCATGTGTATACCCTCCATATCACACACAAACTGTATGAAAGTCATGTGTATATCCGCCATATCACACACAAACTGTATGAAAGTCATGTGTATATCCTCCATGTCATACACAAACTGTATGAAAGTCATGTGTATATCCTCCATGTCATACAATATTGGGCAGAACTGCCCGTTTGCTATGCGATGTAAAATAAATAAACAACAACAACAACAACATACACAAACTGTATCAAAGTCATGTGTATACCCTCCATATCACACACAAACTGTATGAAAGTCATGTGTATATCCGCTATATCACACACAAACTGTATGAAAGTCATGTGTATACCCTCCATATCACACACAAACTGTATGAAAGTCATGTGTATATCCTCCATATCATACACAAACTGTATGAAAGTCATGTGTATACCCTCCATATCATACACAAACTGTATGAAAGTCATGTGTATACCCTCCATATCATACACAAACTGTATGAAAGTCATGTGTATATCCTCCATATCATACACAAACTGTCTGAAAGGCTAGGGTATGGCCGGATCAATCAAAAACTGCTTCCGCCGATCCTGACTTGGCATAAAAAGGAAGGAGGTCTTTCTTTGTTGTTGCTCAGAGTTTCACGGTTTCGCAACCAATCATCAATCAGTGTGTACCTCTTGTGTACTGCAGACCGCTCATCTCAGTCTTGGAGCACTCTAGCTGGTTAAAGTGCACTGCCTGTTCGAGGTTAAAGTGCACTGCCTGTGCGAGGTTAAAAAAAAGAAAGAGATTATTGTCTGTGTTCCTGAGGGAACTACCACACTCCATTCTTCACCCTAGTGTCTGGAGATACGTGGATTTTTTTAGAAAAACACACATGACAACCTCTAACACCTGGACAATGCAGCGGCAGCTGTAGGACTTGACGGTGGGATAGCAGGATAAAGAAACGCTGAGGTTAAAGCTAGCGTGAAAGGCGCTCACGTATCCTACGGTAAGTCTGATTTGCAACAAATTCAATGATCAACAGCAGATAACAGATGCACTTCCTAATCCGGTGTGACGTGAATCTTGTACCACTGGTCCAGCACAGGAGATGAATTTTGAGGATTTCCTCCTTTTCTCATTTGTTACCTCACACTGAAGCAAAAAATACTATCACTATTTTTGAGCTGATCACAGCATTTAAAAAGTTTTATTTTTGACGAGACTTATCCACTCACCCCCACCGTTAGGCGCTGCATCTGCCGCTAGGGTTTACCGGGAGCTAGCGGCCGTTGTGAGTTCCTTTCGGGAACGGACACGACAATTTACTTTTTTACTCCACCCTTCAAAAACGCATACTTTGATGTACTCATATGTTAGATATTCACTACCAAGTTGATTAGGGCCCGGTGGCACATGCACTTTTACAAAGTAGCCGTTCTGCTGGAGTGATGCCAGAGGAGCGGAAAATACCATGGCAACTGCAAAAAGAGGAGCTACCGGTCCAGTGGAAACTCAAATCCGCTGCCTCCAAAACTTTAGGAGCGGTACGCTCGCTTCTGCGGAATACACCACGGTCTGCGGAATATGGACTTGCTACAAGAAATTTGTATGCGTATGATGCCCATGTAACAAGAAATGCGTGGCAGATAGTATACCTCGTCTATTTTCCGTACCGTATGCACCACAGTCCACTTCACTCTCGATTTTCCGCCAAAGTAGGAGCTTGCCCTGTTTGTCATGTGTGACCATGGTGGCCTCATTTTCCCCATCCAGAAGTAATAGTCTACTTGCTGATGATATCTGTCACAAATTGCAATTTAGTTCAGTGGTCGTTACTCTAAAGGCTAAAAGAAGAGTTTTGAGGGTTTGAAACTTCCAGTTCGTGCACTTCTAATTCCTGAAACTCAGCTAAACCGGGTTTTCTCATATAGCAAACATGCTTTAAAAGTTGGCTCCATTTTCACAACATATAAGACTAAAATTTAATGATGAGTTTGTCTGATTTGAATACAGTAAAATGTGCCAATGTGACCTCTTTGATAAGGCGACCACCTGTTTCACTGTATAAAGAGTAACAACAGTCCATTCACAAAACGACGGATTTCTAGCTTTTGGCTGTAAACTGGTCAAACTTCAGAATTTTTTTGATTTTTTCGGCAATCCCCATGGTATCCTCTTCCAATTTTGTTTCTGAAGTCTATTTCTCCAAAACTCTAGCCGTAATAAGAGTAGGATTTCGGCCGTGCAGTTTTGCCCCCAAAGCATGGAAGTGTGAAAGCCATCAAAATCCAGGCTGTTTCACTCCACTTGCAACAGTACATTGTGCGGTCCGGACCCCAGTTCAGATACCCTTTGTGGACCCTTTCTCAATTTTTTTCAAATTCTGCGGCACTGCACTGCGTACAATAAAATCACGAAAATCGCCAAATACAGGAGTTTGCCAGAGCCAGGACCTATCCATTTATGAATGGACACTGAGGTCATGATCGATTGGGCGAATCCCGAGCAAGTGCGCTCCGAGGGAGCTTGATCGTTTGGCCGAATCCGATCGAATCCGGAGGTGGCGTACTTGGAGTGGAATCCGACCACTCCGGCCCCCACACTGAGAGTGGCTGGCGTGGAAATGGACTTTGGCGTTTTTGGACAGCTTTCACAGCATCTTTGTATGATAATTATGCGTACAGTTTGCGTACTACACCCTTGTTTTGTTCGATTGGGCTAGCGTTGCTCGGACTACACCGCCTGCTCGCACTCAATCCAGATTCGCCAATCGATGACACCCTAAGTCACCTACTTTGCACTTACCAACACAATTAGGAGTATCAGACCATCTGCCAGTGGAGAGGCAGACAACAGACCTGCTGCCATTGATTTGGTAGCCTGGTTTGCATTGCAAGGTGCCGACGTCATTCACTCTGTTCAGCGACGCCGTGAACACGCCATGGTCTACCAGAAGATTTGCGCACATTTGAATTCCTGCCAACAAGACACAAACAACATTGTATTATGAGACACAAGTTGGGATACCTTTGCAGGTCTTCTTCTGTGCTGACGTCACTAAGACGTCACTAGGATTGTGCATGCACGCAGGCCCACCTGTGCGACCCTTCCCGTTCTGTTGTTGCCTATTTCCCCGACCGTGGCGTGAACTTCCTTGTTTTGTTGTCTTAAACTGTCAAACAACATCTTTGGCTCGGTCGATGTTGCAATACAAGTTCACAACATGCTTGTTGTATGATTGGTTCAAGGGCCATGAGACTCAGATTGACAGAAAAAGGCCTCCCGCCATTGTGCACTTGTGTTGCAGGTTCCTGTTTTTGGGCTGAGCAATGAAAGACATTTTGATATCGGCTCAAATGGCATATCTCGCGTTTGCGTACGATAAGCCAAACTCGGCACATCGCCAATATACGTTGCCATAGCGACCAGCGCAGTGATGACGTGCGATTGGCTTAGCTCTGCCACAGAGAACGTCGATCACTGCAGAGTTTGGTCATTTTCAATTGTCTTATTGTATTCACGGTGTGAAAGATGTGCTGTGTTCAATGCTGTTCGTGCCGTGAACTGTTTTTCTACCTTCTACTGCATTTCCCTAGGCTGACTGCAGGATAAGAAATGGTTCCTCTAATAGAAGATGCTTGGTATTCACCATCTCTCATGAGACAATTTCAGAAAACGTAAAAAAGGTACATTATGTCGTTCGTCAATCTCCACCACCCGTTGTCTCACCTGGCGTCAGAAGATGTTACGAGGGATAGGAGAGTCGCCAGCAAGCATCACATCCATCTTCAGGAAGTGGAAAGAGCAAATGGCATGGTCCTTGGTTGGGGTAAATGCTGAACGTCTGATTTGTCCCACCAAGATTTCAGCATTTTGTTCGTCACTGCTTCTCGCTTTTCTGCTGATGTCTCCGCACTGCAGCAGTCTCCTGTCGGTGTCAGGTCTCAGTACACAATGAAAGGAGGAACTATTAATAAACAGTACTATCAACATTGAACATGACACCTCTTCACATCGTGAATCCAATAAGACTAATGAAAATGACCAAATTCTGCAGTAATCGTCCTTCTCTCTCACGGAGCTAAGCCGATCGCACGTCATTACTGCGCTGGTCACTATCCAATAAGACTAATGAAAATGACCAAATTCTGCAGTAATCGTCCTTCTCTCTCACGGAGCTAAGCCGATCGCACGTCATTACTGCGCTGGTCACTATGTCAATGTATATCATACGATTGGTGATTTGGCGAGTTTGGCTTATCGTATGCAAGCGAGAGATATGCCATTCGAGCCGGTATCAAAATGTCTTTCATCTGAACTCTACTTATTTTTATTTATTTATTTATTTCACCGTCCAATGGCAGAAGCCAATGCAAAGGAGGGGGCGTTAGCCAGCCGTGGCAAGAGAAGAAAAAGAAGGAAAGAAGATAATAGTCGGAAGAAAAGATCGCATCAGCGGGATGAAATTTATCACGATGTTGACCATGGTGGATAACTTGAAAAGCGATGCACTGGCCCTTCAGTAGTGCTCCTCAGAAGAGCTCAGTGTCACTGGTCAAACCAAACGCAAAGGAGGTCCAGTGAACAAAAACAAAGCATTTCTAAACCGGCTCAAACCGTGAGGGTCATAGTTCAATTACTTCTATATTTGTCTGATGAAGCCGAAAGCCTGTTCGTAGACTGGAGGTATTCCCGAGTGCATGGAGGCATAGAGATGAATGTCTTGGAGCATGACACTTACTTGTACACCGCGGCACACTAGACCAGTGGCCGATTGGCAAACACATCACGTTCCTGTCGCCGTACAGTTCATAACCGGTATCACAAATGATAGTGCGTACGCTATTGACAGTGTTGAGACCGTGCGTTGCTAAACCATGTGCTAGGTTCAGAGTGGGACATGTTTTGATTGCTGCAAAAGGGAACAAAAACAGAACCAGGTGAGAAGCGGTGAATAAATGAACCGAAGAGTCTAGTTTCCATGGTTGCAGCTATATTCGCCATCTACCTCCGCTAAGGAGCTCTCAATGAGCGAAGCAGTTGTCTGGAAGATATGGAGCATCTATCCAAGAACACACTTCCTCGTGATGGAGTATGTTGCTGTGAATGTGGGCCAAGAGCGCAGTGTGGAGAGGGTGACAGTTCGAATTCATTGTGTGTCTGTCTGAGAGTGAGACGGATGCATGCTGTGCAGCTTGCTGCAGACACACGCCATTCTTAATTATGTCACTCACCCTGGCAAGTAGGCGGTGGTGAAGACCAGGCACCTCTCAGAAGACAAGTTGTCAGAGCACGCCCCGCCATGGTGTATCCATCATTACACGTGTAGGTTCGAGTTTCTTCAACATCATGGCCTCCTGCCAGCACACTGCCGTTTTGTGGATTCGTCAGAGGCGCGCAAGTGATTCCTGAGTGAATAACAGTTTAAAATAAGCACATACAGCACGTTTTAATAGTACGTGAATTTGGAACTAGTGAAGGTACTGTTGCCCAGTGCTATTGTCTTATTGAAAGACATTGATCCCCAGCAACAAGCAGATACTACTATCAAGGTCACACATTTTGAGATAATTATAATTATTATGTCTTTCGCCTCCGCAACTGTCATGTCCTTCCAAGGACCAGACGTGGGGCATACAACGTTTAGTGCATTATGCACCTACACATGCTCATTGCGGAATAATCAAACACACACACACACACACACACACACACACACACAATTTCCGGGTGGTTGCAAACAGACTTTCGTACGGAACTGAAGTTTAAACACCCACAGAGTTATGGTCTGTACTCAGCAAAACTAGGTGCGCTAGTACGTATGTGTGAGCCGAAGATTTTTTTCCAGCCATGCTGCAACCCACAGATACTTGAGAGCTATACTCAATCTGCGGACAGCATGCTGTTTCGTTCTTTGTGAACTTATCAGCGCAGCACAGAGGAAATGAGGCCGAACCTGATAGCAATGGAAATAAATATTACCAATCAGGCCCGAACGTATCTTGCCAGAGTGCTCAAACTGACATACCTGAGAGCTTATAGCCTGGCATGAAGGAGCCAACTGTAGATGATTGGATTGCAGTTGTGAGCCTGCCCGTTATTTATTGAGCACTCAATACTCACGTGGTTTTCCCAAATAATTCGTGATGAACCTTACCCTCACCATTGTGTGTGTGTGTGTGTGTGTGTGTGTGTGTGTGCGTGCGTGCGTGCGCGTGTGTGTGTGTGCATGTATTCCTGTATATGTGTGTGTACGTGCATGTGTGTATGTGTGTATACATGTGTACGTGTGTTGGTTCCCTGCTGCCCATCATACAGGTCTACCCTCGTACAGTACGACATCGGTTACAAGACAAACCTCATTAGTAGGCAAAAATCAAAAATCCCCTGTCGCCTGAAACACATACCTTCATGACTTGATAGTTGATAATACTCATAACAAGACAAAAAAATGGAACTCTGCGGGTTATCTACAAATGAGGCTAGACCTGCACACGAACTACAACGCCTTAAAGAGCCAGCCTAAATAGGTCACTTACTAGTGCAAGTAGGGTTGGTGGATGACCATGATCCATGCTGACTGCATACTCTGCTTGCAGAACCGTTAAGTCTGTAACCAGCATTGCACGCGAATGATGCTACAGCACTGAATGTATGACCATCCACAGATATCATTCCATTGTCAGGACTTGTCAGTGGTCCACAAGTGATTGCTGCAACAACAAAAAATATACCGGTAATATATGTCACGGTTTGTGTGAGATTTGGCTGGGGGCTGAGTTTTGCTCATCCTCAGGAACGCCAGACCCTCTAGGATCAAGGCACAGACGCAGCCCCTTAGCGGTGGGAGGTGAATAGATCAAACCCACGACAAACTAAGAACAAAACTACAAGTGCGGAATGCATTGATGGTTAAAGGTCCCACATGCAGCTCCCGATATTTTCTCCATAGTACATATGTATGCGTTAACCACCATCATTTCTGACAAAATTAATGATAATTATGTATGTTCAAGTAAAGCTGGCATAAATAATAACTGCTGCAAAACCAGCCACTAAACAGGAGCTGAGAGCCTTATGATGTATGTATGTATATATGTACAACTCCTAACCATTCTGGTTACGGGTTATATACACAGAGCTTCATGATAGTGGCAGATACTAGTAGAACAACTTGCTTATCGATGCCATAGCAACTCATGCCATAGCCATAGCATAGCCATAGCCATAGCAACAGTTGTGATGGATGCACTCCAAACACTGACTACGCACTTCTCTCTCTTTCTACAGGAAATACTCGATCCCATAAAATCCCTCCTCCCTTCTTGTCAAGTGCAATCCACTGCATGCACTGCACAATGGACGGCAGCATGTTGCTCTTCATGGAGCTAAGTATTTCTCGATGACAAGACTCCACTGTAGCATTCACATTATCCACACAATCATACCAAAACACTCTTTTATCATCCTCTCGCCTACACCAGTCAATCAAATCTCGAGTTGAAGATTTTTCCAGATATTCGGGCAAGGACTGCTTTCGGAATGTTAAACACGGATCAATTACCTGAGCACATCAGCAAGCTCCAAGATCCATCAGCTGTGCAGGTTATGTTGTCACTACCAGCATATCCAGTGTTACATTGTACCAGCACGCCATCTCCATACACGTAAGATTTTGTTGGATTAGCCATTACAACAGCATTAGTGATGTTGGGTGGGCTAGGGCATGGTTGAGCTGCAGGGAAAAAGAATGCCACGATCATAATAAGTTAGGGTGTATGTCAGTGCCAGCATCATACAGACAACAGTAAAAGAGAACTGTCCCTCCCTCTCCCCACTCCTGCCATTCCCCTTGTCCTCATTTCTGTCTTGTTGCTTTGTTTCGCCAAATGGTGTGTGGTTATTTGCCGTTGAACACCCTATTTGAATATTTGGCCAACTTTCTTTTATGGTGCCGTAAGGGACATGTACGGAATCGTGTACCAGGCATGGCGCATCACGTGATGACTGCCCTACCACATACATAAACATTAAACACACATACAAATTCACGTCTTTGGCAATATTTCGAGAATAAATAGGTAAAAAAGAAGGACAAAATGACTTGTTTCGAGTCATGACCAACTGTCCACCAACGTAACCAGATCATGTACAGTCAGCGAGTGCGACAAAATGGCACAAAACTAACAAGGAGTACTGAGACATTCAGCGACCTGCCACCTAGCTCTGACACTTCTCCAAGGCATAAACCAACAACCCTCCAACTTGGAAGGCTCAGGGTTTGGAAAGGTCCAAGAGGGGAAGAAAAGGGCAACGAAGAAGAGCACGAGCTACGCCCCACGGCAACAAAGAAAGCCGAAAGTATGTGGATGATGACTTCGCTTAGCTTCCCCTTTCTATGTTTATTACATAAACTTAAGCCTCCCAAGTTGGGTGGTCTGTTGCTTTGCGTTGTAGAGCTGTAGTAAGGCCGGTACGTCCAATAGTCTTACTAGTTTCGTCATCATCCAGTAACTTTCGGCATTCTTTGTTGCTGTGGGGTATACCTCGTGTTCTTCTTCGTTGCGCTTTCCTTCCCCTCTTGGCCCTTTCCGAACCTGAGTCTTCCAAGTTGGAAGGTTGTTGGTTTGCGCCTTGGAGAAGTGTCAGAGCTAGGTGTCACATCGCTGAATGTCTCAGTACTCCTTGCCAGTGATGTGCCATTTTGTCGCACTCGCTGACTGGATAATTAAGATCTGGTTACGTTGGTGGACAGTTGGTCATAACTAGTAACATTTTGCCCTTCTTCCATAATTAAATTGGCTCACCCTCCGAATTCAATAAATAGGTAGACCATACTTGGAGCACAACACTCACCAGAACAAGCCAGGCTGCTCCATGTTCCAGCTGATGTACAGTTGATTTTGCCACTACCACTATGTCCAGTGTTACATTGTACAAACACACCATCACCAAATACATAGGATTTTGTTCGGTCAGCCAATACGACGGCATTAGTGATGTTGGGAGGGCTGCGGCATTGCTGAGCTGCAAGGAAGCCAAGACATAACACAATGTACACATCTGTGTTGGTAGAGGGCTAAACGAGGGCCTGGTGTATTTATTAAGAGAAAATGTCTGAGAAAACAATAAACGGAGGTTTGCTGGTTTGCCTGTTCCTCTCAAAATTTGCAGATTGGTTTCTTTTGGGTCTTCAACAACCATACAAAACAATTCAAAATGGGTCAATAGCTAACTTAATGTTTGTACCTACTGGAAGCATTGACATAACAAACATGGAAAAGAAAGAAAAAAGGCAAACATATTGACACCACCACCACAGAGTGCCATGTCAACTTCCTGGAAAGCAATGACAATCTCGTATATTTTTCACTACATGTGTCACAACCTCACTAGCTCTCCCAGGAAAACATGACAGCTCATATTTTAACCATGCACTCCAGAACAGGGTATTACCTCCCCACAGAACCCCAGAACATGTCTGACAATAAGATTAGGTGTTCTTATGATCCGAAAGTTTATCCACCATTAGGCTGTCACCTAACATGTAAATTTAGGTGTAATACAATTTCAGTGTCAGGGTCCTGATGGGTTTCAGGTGTAACTTAGAATTTGGCCACCAGAATTCCCTTCATACACAGCACATACTAATGTGCCAATTTTGTGCAATCTAAATTTAGGTGTATGGTATTTCCACCGAAATCACCGAAACTAAAGTCACACTGAAAATAACCTGCTTTACAATACTTTGTCGGTACATGCACTGGAGGCGGAGAAGCTTCCTGATCCCCTGCTGACTCTAGCTCCAGTTTGCCCAGGAACACTTACGCTACTGCCAGGAAACCCACGCTCCGCTTTTCTCTCTCTCCCTCTCCCCCTCCCTCTCTTTCTATCTCCCTCTCTCTCTATCTCATTTTCTCTTTTCTCTCTCCCCTCTCTCTCTCTCCCTCTCCTGCATACAACTACCGAGAAAGATGTGCTCACATCCAAACAGTCCAGCGCATTGCTGTACTAACGTTACATCCAAACAGTCCAGCGCATTGCTGTACTGCATGCATACAGTGCAGGTATCACATATACTAGTGTACTCTCAAAGTGCTGCCCTTTTTAGCAAAATCTCACCCCGAAAAAAAAGTGCGAATATCGGAGATGTGTGGCTAAACGTCCCTTAATGAGTACCGTAATCTCGCAGATATAGGACCATGGTCTTATAATCGAAAAAGTCGCTGTTTTCGGTGCTTTCACAAGTGCAATTTCGTTCAATTACAAGACCATGGTCCTATATGCCAGAGACAAACATCGCATCAACATGTACATGTGCAAGTATGCATATTATTGGTGAATGCCAGTACAATGGAACCATGATGGACCTCATGTGGCTTTGTGATTTTCATTCACTTATAAGTGCATGTTCTTATAAGCGAGAGTGCTCCTGTATTCGAAAACAAGAAATGTCCTTAAATGCACGAGTTTACGGTGATTGCACTCACGTATGCAGACAGGTTTTTCATCCGACCAAATACCATTCAGAGTACAAGCCAGACTGGGTGTACCTTGAAGCGTATACCCCTCGTTACACGTGTATCCGGCCATACTGTTCACATTGAGTGTGGAATAACTCACGTTACCGTGATAGGGTGGCAAAGGGGCATCACAGGTTATTGCTGGAAATTGTATTAACACACAGATAGCAACATGTGAAAATGATTGAAATTGAAATCACAGCACTCTGGCCAGAAAACTGATGCCCCCCCCCCCCCCCCCCCCCAGAGAGAGAGAGAGAGAGAGAGAGAGAGAGAGAGAGAGAGAGAGAGAGAGAGAGAGAGAGAGAGAGAGAGAGAGAGAGAGAGAGAGAGAGAGAGAGAGAGAGAGAGAGAGAGAGAGAGAGAGAGAGAGAGAGAGAGAGAGAGAGAGAGAGAGAGAGAGAAAGAGAGAGAGAGAGAGAAATAGAGAGAGAGAGAGAGAGAGAGAGAGAGAGAGGGGAGAGGGGAGAGAGAGAGAGAGAAAGAGAGGGAAAGAAATATAGAAAGAGAGAGAGAGAGAGAGAGAGAAAAGAAAGAAAGAGATGGAGAAAGAGATGGAGAAAGAGAAAGAGAGAGAGCCGGAGTGAGAGAGAGAGAGAGAGAGAGAGAGAGAGAGAAGAGAGAGAAAGAGAAAGAGAGAGAAAAGAGAGAGGGAATCAGTGTGGAACTGTGCATGTTGGCACTGCCCTACCATGTGTAGCCAGCAGAATAACTTCTCACTTTTTTCAATTTACACTGCACTATGATAATGCCCACGACAAACATAATTTGCGATAACACAAATATATAAATCTCTGCACACATCTCTTTATTGTTCATTACAACACGAAGAAAAGAGAAAGTGCTTTTACTCCGAGATCCACTAGTTGTCCACCATCTTAATCTTGTTGGAACAAGCTCTGCCTCTGGGCATCAAGCACTCTATTGCACTGCTTGGAACCTCTCTGTTAGGACTGCCTGGAACCTCTCTGTTTTATCATTCACTACCTAGCTGTTCACTGAGAGCTAGTGGCCGCCGTGAGTTCCCGTCGGGAGCAGACACAATCATTTCCTTCTACTTTTTTCTCGCGTTGTTCTAGCTGCCCGATGCAGTAGTCCAGTGTGATATCAAACCTATCAGATGCTAGTACCTGTTATCAAAAGTGTCTCCCTTAAGCTCTAGTGTCCACCAGTTATTTGCAGCAGACACCGCCATTGGTCATCTGCACCGATCCGAAGCTAGGAACCGTTTCGTTCAACCAAACGCACAGGTTGCTCGGCTTTCACTGCGGCAACGGGAACTGCGAATATTAGCTGAGTCCGGACACCATGATGCTGCGCAGCTGAAGAAGGAGCGCAATCGTGTCATGCATGAAATCCGTAATATCCAACAGACCGAAGCCAACTCTCGCCTGGACAGAATTGCCGAGGCGGTTGAGAGCGCTCCAACCTCCGCGCAAATGTTTATAGCAGCCTCCCAGCTCAAACGTGGCAAGCCGCAGCAGCTCTTCGTCGAGTCGGCTGATGGTCACATCCTCATGCGCGATGAGGAAAAGGCATCTCGCATACGTGATCACTATCAGGGGCAGTTCAACACTTCTGATGACCTGCTGCCACCGCCAGCTCCGCACACACTGGAGACGCCCGTTTCCACCGAAGAAGTAGAGGCGGCTTTGAGACGACTGCGAAATCAGAAAGCATGTGGGCCGGATGGTGTATGCGCAGAACTCCTCAAATACGGTGCTGAGTACATCTCCCCGATCATCACCACCATGATCAACAACAGCATCACCAGGGGCGACCACCTGTGTAGTGTTATTGGTCCAGGCATATTGATACCGTTACCAAAACCTAACAAGGCGCGGGTGTGGTGTCAGATAGAGTTTATTCACAACTAGCAAGAAGGACAACAAACGAAGAACAACATTCCAAGCAGTGTGCGAACACGAAAGGGAAGTGTGTACGAACACCAAGGAAAGTGTGTACGAGCGCATATGGAAGCAGGAGCTCTAGGCGGGTGCATACGGGGTGCGGGAGCTGCACCATATACGGAAGTATGCCATATACATCATGCCCCTCCTAAGATAAAAACGTACAAGTGTTTATCTAATCAACAAAAAATAATGTGAAAATTGCATGTGCGTAGCAAATGACATGTCGCGGAGCAACAGCAACTTCCAACAGACTTGTAAAAGAGATAATTGCAAAAATTATATACATGAAGGTTTTCAACTGCGAAACAATGGGAATGACAATTGAATAGGTACAATGGACATCAACAACTGAACAGAGCGAGTGTTAATTGTACGATTGTCCACGCGTTGAAATAATGTTAAAGGGGACATTCTGTCGCCGGGGACGTTGGCTTGTTCGAGGTGGTACCTGAACAGTTGACTGTGGCGACGACTGAGTCACAGGGACTGCTTGTGGTGCAGCGTCGGGTACGGGAGACGATGCAGGCATGGCTGTTGAAGCTGGAGTAGGAGGGCGGTACGGGCGGAGGTAGCGACGGTTGCGCCAATATACGCGTCCACTCGGTAGCTTGACGTAGTAGTCGCGGTGGTCACCGATAGCCACGACAACGCCGCGGGAAGACCACCGTTTTGTCTTTGGGTGCTGAATGTCAACGTGCGTCCCGATAGACAAGTGGGGAAGCTCTCGGTGAGGCTGACTGGGAGGCTGGTCTACTCGATCAACATCATCCATGTCAGATGCGGTGTCTTGCCAGTGGGAGTCGAACTGGCTCCATTGGGCGAGAACGAAGGAGACGAGTGGGCGACCATACAGTAACTGGGCAGGACTCTTTCCCGAAGTGCCAGGAGTATTGCGCCACTCGAGAAGGCCACGCTGGAAAGCATCGGTGTCTAGATTACCGTCATTGGTAGTCTTTTCCACCAGGTACTTCATTGCCTTTACGGCTGCTTCCGCATGTCCGTTCGACTGTGGGTAGTGAGGGGACGACTTGATATGACGGATTCCCCAGCGCTCGCAAAATTCAGCAAATCTGTGAGACGCAAACTGAGGACCGCCGTCCGTTGAAATGACCTGTGGTACGCCTACATCTGGGAACCACCTGCGAAATGACGAATGACGTCAGCTGACGTGGCTGAGTGACCAAGCTTGGCTATGCATGGCCATCCGGTTAAGCGGTCGACGAATACCAAATACTCGCAACCTTGGCAACTGAAAAGGTCAGCACTAACACTTTCGAATGGCAAAGTGGGCTTGCGGTCAGAAATGGGCGGTTCGGCAGACTGAGACGGCTGAAATTCACGGCATGCATCACAGCTGCGGACTAGCGTGTCTAACTCACTGTTCATTCCGGGCCAATACACTGTCTGACGGGCACGTCGTTTGGTACGGGTCAGACCTTGGTGGGCTGCGTGAAGGTCGATCAGCGTTGACGCACGCAGAGAGGCTGGGACGACTATGCGTAGACCTTTCAGGACTATGCCATTGTCGGTGGACAAATGTTCACGCACGTTCCAATACGCACGAAGAGGCTCGGGCAGCTGCTTTTGTGCTGAGGGAAATCCGTTCTGGATATACCCGAGTAGCATCTGGTAGTCAGGATCAGATGCTGCTGCGGCACGGAGCTTAGTGAACTGGAGACTCTGGGGACCACCTTGGAGTAGATAGATACGGATACTGCGGCAGGACAGTGCTGGATCTTCTCCAAGTTCATCATCACTAGTCGGGATTGATACAGGATGTCGTGAGAGGGCGTCTGCGAATGCGTGCTCTGAACCCTTACGCCACGATGCTTTCACTTGATACGGACGAAGTTTCATGATCAATCGGAGTAGACGAGAGTTCTCAATCTGGTCAAGGGTGTAGCTGTTGATAATCGGTACAAGCGGACGATGGTCGGTGATTAGGGAGAACTGTGCACCAGATAGATACAAGCGGCACTTGTGCACTGCCCAGACGACTGCGAGGCACTCGAGCTCGATTACAGCGTACCTTGTTTCAGCGTCAGATAAGCAACGACTTCCACACTGGATGAGGTGCCATTGCTGGTCATCATGCTGTTGCCATAGGGCAAATCCGAGGCCATTCTTCACAGATGCATCAGTCTCGAGACGGAGAGGCTTGCCAGGCTGGAAGAAAGCTAACACTGGTGACTCAGTCAGGATGGCTTTGACGGCTTCGAATGCTATGGTGTGCTGCTGATCCCAGGCGAACTCATTGCTGGTTTTCAGGAGTGGGCGAAGCGGCTCACTTAGTTCAGCAATGCGCGGTGTGAAGTCGCTGCATTGGTTGACCAAACCGAAGAATGAGCGGAGGTCAGTGCGGTTGCAGGGCACTTCGAACTGGCGAATGGCAGATGTCTTGCTACCATCAACGGCATAACCATCAGCATTGATGACGAATCCGCAGAACTGTACTTCACTAGCGCCGAATACAAACTTGTGTGGGCTGAGCGTAATGTGATGCTCACGGGCACGGTGAAGGACGTCACGAACGTGGGTGACGTGGTCTTGAAAATCGACGTCATGTACTAGGCCGTCATCAACGACTTTGACGAAGTTAGCGAGGCGGTCAAATGCTGCGTCTGTGCGGCAGTTGAATTCGTCACCTGCTGAGGACAGACCTTGAGGGTTGCGGCAATAGCGATACCGACCCCAGGGCGTGATGAATGTCGTGAGCGGCTTCGAGTCGTCGGACAGGGGTATTTGCCAGTAACCATGACGAGCGTCGAGTGTGGTGAAGAAACGGGCTTTACCAATAGCTGTCACGGCGTCACGCGGAGTACGAGCTGGGTGTGTTGGTCGGCAGACTTGGTCGTTGAGTTTACGCAAATCAACGGTGAGGCGCTTCTCGTTAGAAGACTTCTTATCTGCGATGACGATCGGGTGGCACCAGTCTGACGGTTCAGTGACTGGCTCAATAATTCCATTGATCACCATATCGTCCAGTTGAGATTTTATCTGATCTCGGAATGCGAATGGGATTGCGCGGGCACCATGAACACGAGTTGGTGTGGCGTCAGATTGAAGCTTTATCTCCATGGGAGGACCAGCCATGGGCTTCAATTGGGAGTCGTCGAATACATCAGCAAACTCTTGCATCAGCTGAGCCTTAACATCAGCAATGTCTGCACTACTGGGTTCGGACTTCACACGGGAGATCCGCGGCCAGGACTCAGGGAGAATGCCAAGAGCACGGAGAGATTGGCATGACAGCAGCGCCTCGTCGAGGTCTTCATACACATGAAGTACCGTGGTGTGCTGGGCTGAGCCAATGGAGAGCGTGGCAGAAATCTTTCCCAGGCTAACCAGAGAGGTGCCGTTTGCTGCTGAAACAGTGTCGGAATCGACGGCAAGGTTCTCAGGGAAGCCACGTAGCTGGGAAAGATGTGCTGGCCCAATGGCGTCAACATCGCTGCCGGTGTCTGGAATCCATGTCATGGCTTCGGCGGTCGGTTCTGTGTTGAGCTGCGTGTGGACACTGAGTTCTAGACCATGTCGAACAGAGGCACGTTGCAACTTAAGTTGGCCGACTTTGCCGGATGCTGTTGGTTTGCCTTTGTGCGGGCACATGGACTGGAAATGTCCGACACGTTGACATCCGTTACATTTGCGTGACTTCGCAGGACATGTGCCTTTGGTGTGGGGACTGCGACCACAGCTGGGACACTTGTCACCGGCGGGCTTGTCTGGTGTAGACTTCACGGGAGCGGGCCGGCTCGCCTTCTGCTGTTTATAAGATGATTTCTTAGCTGCGTGCACGTGACCACTGGAGGGAATGCCAGAGGAAGTTTGGCAGGCTGCTTCCTCAGCACGGCAGAGCTTCACGGTTCCCTCCAGATCCAAGTTCTGGAGGGCCAGCAGCTTGTGACGCACGTCGTCCTCAAATACGCCTGTCACAATGCGGTCACGTAGTATGTCGTTGTTGAATTTCAACAGGCCTGCCTTGCAGGGGTTGCACATCGCCTGGTTGCAGTTATGACATACTGAACACCCAGAAAAGTCACACGCGTGAAACAGTTCACGGAGGGCCGTATAAAAGGAGTCAAATGATTCCCCACGCTGCTGCCGTCTCTTGTAAAATTCGATTCGGTCGAGCAGCGGGTTCCTCTGCCGCCGGATGTACTGCTGGAGGACCGGGATGGCATCAGCAATGTCAGCGTCTTCCGGGAAGGCGATAATGCCTTCTCGGATGAAACGGCGCAGGTCCTCATCTAGGGCCTGGCGGAACGCTGACATACGTGTATGGCGGTCGTGGCTGGCGAGACATTGGCATTGCGCATAGTCACGCCAGGCCTCCTCCCAAGCGGTAAATTCTGCCATTGTGGCAGTAGATAACAATACTGGTCGTTCTGCGGACACAGACTTGGGTGCGGGTGGGGTTGTAGAACTAGTACTGGTCTGGTTGGACATCCTTTCCATCAGGGTCTGAAACTGTTGATCTCGCAGTGCAGACGCCTGTGCCTGAGTTGTCAGGAGCTGCAGGAGCGTGGCGACGTCAGGCACTCCATTACCAGAAGGTGCTGCGGGATCGCTGCTCGCCATGCTGATCACAAATGCTCGTTGTGACAGCTCGCACGACTACGTCCTACGAAAGAAATTGAACAACACTCCTATCTAAAACGAACTAACAAACTAACTGCATGGTAATCTAATCCAAATCCAACGGAGTGCTACACTGCTACTGGGCCAGGTAAGACACTACAAACTAGGTTGGTGTGGACAGAATGGAAACTACAGGACGAAATGTTCACTGCGCCATGTGGTGTCAGATAGAGTTTATTCACAACTAGCAAGAAGGACAACAAACGAAGAACAACATTCCAAGCAGTGTGCGAACACGAAAGGGAAGTGTGTACGAACACCAAGGAAAGTGTGTACGAGCGCATATGGAAGCAGGAGCTCTAGGCGGGTGCATACGGGGTGCGGGAGCTGCACCATATACGGAAGTATGCCATATACATCAGCGGGGACCAGTTGCAAACCTGAGACCGATTGTATTGCTGAACACCCTGCGCAAGGTCATTTCATTCGTTGTGCTCAAACGTATCACACCACGTGTGTCGCATTATCTTGGATCCACTTCGTCTGGTTTCAGGCCTGGCCGTGGCACTGCCGATGTGGTGTGGACACAGCGCTGGATTTCGGCTAAGGCCACCCACTTCGTGTGGGATTGCCACGTCCTTGGCCTCGACATGTCGAAAGCATTCGACACCATTAGCCGCACAAAGCTCCTTGCTGTTATGTCAGAGATTACCGGACCTGACGAGGCTTGCCTGATTCACCATTTGCTGTATGGTACAACACTCTCTGTGAAAGTGGGTGCCAATTCAGCGGAGGCGTTTGTTAGCACGCTAGGTACACCACAGGGTGATGGGCTGAGCCCGGTTCTGTTTGTTTGCTATCTGGAAGCAGCACTGAGGGAGACTCGAAGCAAACTACCACCACGGCCAGACACTGATGCAGCAATACCACAGGAAACAGGATATGCCGATGACATTTCCTTCTATTCGACTGAGCGACAATGGCTTGCCAACTCCCTACCCGTGATAGCTGACGGCCTGGGTGACTGGTCACTCAACGTTAACAGCAGCAAAACAGAGTGGCTTCACATCTCTGCCTCCACCACCGAATGGCGAAGATCGAAGCAACTTGGCTCTCTCTTGGGGGAAGAGGAGGACTTGAGCCGACGAATGGACCAAGCATCAACATCGTATGGCCGCATGTATTCGCTCTGGATACGACGTCAACTTGTATCCGAGGAAACCAGGCTTCGTCTCTACAATGCCATCGTCCTACCAACACTGTTATACAACTGCGAAACCTGGGGACTGACAGAGGCTGCACTGGAGAAGCTGAACGCCTTCCATAGACGTCAACTACGGAACTTGTTCGGAATTAGGTATCCCGCCATCATCTCCAACAAAGACCTATATTCCAGAGCACACACACAGCCACTTTCGCACACCGTTGCTGTCCGCCGTTTCCGGATGTTGGGTCATGTTCTGAGGATGCCCTCAGATGCCCCGCCACAGCAGGCAATGGACAACTACTTCCGTCGAGATGTCACCGGTGTGCGTGGACGCCCGAAATCGAACCTGGCCACGGCAGTCAAGGCAAGCACAGCTGCCAGAGACATGCCACTGAAGACCATGACTGATCTGAGTGGGCTCAGAATGCGCGCTTTGGACAAGCAATCATGGAGGGAACTCTCAGCCTGAGCTGGTTTTGCTCGCGGCTGCAACGCACGGGGTAGTGAACCCAGGACAGAAGCGGACCAGGCATCATGACTTTGCACATCTATCGTTATGCTGCTTCATTACGCGACCTGTTTTATTATTATTATTATTATTGCATGACACCAGCCAATGGTACGGATTTTCTACAATTAATATGCACGGAATGCAGATTATGCTACTTACGGCTGCAATGGGGCTGAGGTGTCGTCGTCGTGTTGTCGATACAGTATACGATGCTCAGTCCAATTAGCTTATATCCACTGTTGCAGGAGACACTGTATGACATAGGTGTGATCCCAGTAACTACACCATTATGAAGTGTCGGAGCGGGACATGTGCGTGCTGAAGGTGAACATACGCAAACAAATACATCCTTCGCAAACGAGCTGGCATACATTAACTCTGTTAGGACATGCATGATGAAGATTGTGTTTCATGACAATCCGCCACAGTACACGGACCACAAATCAACAGAACCTACCTGTGCATTTTGGTGATGGTGACCAAGAGAGATCGTCTTTGCAGGTGAGAATGTTGTTCCCGGTCAGTCGGTGTGCTGCATCACATGTGACAAATGCCACACTACCGGGACTGAGTGGTGATTGGCTGGGCTGCACACCACCGTTAGCAATGCTGGGTAGAGGGCTGCAGGAGATTGCTGAACAAAAAGCAAAGCATTATAATGTGCAGAATTCAGGCACAGCACGATCAAAATATAGTCATGTACTGTTTTCACCAAACCAACCCCATAACAGTTGCAGGCACGTAGCGCCACTGTTGGAGGTGGTCCGGCTGAAGGGGTGGGGTGGTGGGGGTCTCCCCGGGGGAAAAAATGGAAATTAGGGTGCAAAATCCTGCGTTCTGGGCACTTTGGGCATTATGTAAAAAAAAGTGGTCCGGCCAAAGCCGGACCAGCCGGACCGGCTGCTACGTTCCTGATGTACACACACACACATCTTTGATGCCTGATTTGGAACACTGATGTCAGCTGAGCTCTCTTCAGTTGCTCACAGTGCGTCAGCACATCGACGTTCATTGTTTCATGCTGTTCTCCACACGGCTCTCAGTAGGGTCCTGTTCATCGTTAAAGAATCTTTAGTTCATTGTACATTCGGACCTCGCTTATTCGGTCCTATTTTATCCGGATCCCTCGCCATCTGCAAGAAAATCGTTGGTTACCGATTTACAGCATAATTATGTAGCGCATACATACGATATGTGTATTTGGTTGTTCGGTTCCCTCGCCTATCCGGGGGATATTTTGTGGAAAATGGATGTGTGCGGTTAAACGACGTCCGACTCTAGTGATGGCCTGGCTATCAGTGCTCATCCGTACCCCCTGTCACCTTGCTAGACAGTTATTTTCATTACTTGATCATCGCTGTCAGATGAAACATGTGGCTTCCCATCGTCTGAGCAGCAGAATAAAATACGATTGACTCCTGATAAAGTGAACATCATACTCCTGATATAGTGAACATCATACTCCTGATATAGTGAACATCATTGTGTAGGAGTATTAGTTCTTTATAGCCGAAGTTTGCTCCAACAGAAATGCACTCATAGTGCATGCAGGTGTGATTTGTTATCAGTTCGCAGCGCTCCTCATATATTAACCCATCCTAACCGGTGTGCCCACTTCATTCCTGATGATGGTTATTTCATGACCGAAACGTTGAAATACAGTATTTTTCTGGTGAAAAGCAGTTATTTGAGTGTGAGCCAGTGTTGCTCACAGCCAATTTTTTAGAAATGAACTCGTTCCATAAAAACAACTCATTACGACTGGCATGTGGCCAGGGACCGTAAGAATAAACTCGGCTATCCTACGACATGTGCAAGAAATACACTTTCTGACTGTATACTATATCTCAGTGGACTGTCATTCATAACGAGTATCATGTTGGTTCTATTTTTTAAATATAATTTACTTCAAGAAGTGGCTAAAGTCTTCATATCATGAAGCACCCTTGTTGATGGGCCAGGCCCGAAAATTTGGTGTAATGTCAATTTCAATTTTGGTTTGAATCGCAGTGAAGAGACCGTTTTCGGAGTTGAGAAGTGAAGTGTATACGTGTAAGTGGCTGCGTTGGAGTTTGCGAGCAATTAGACAAGTACATCATGAAACAGTATTTCTTGGATAAATGTTAGCGTACCTGTACACCTTGGAGGAATGGAACCATTTTCCCACTCCCCATCGCTGTCACAAGTAATAGTTGCTGGGCCAGACATTGCCTCGTATCCTGGGAAGCAAACTAGATTTGCAGTGGCTCCTTTGCTGGCGTTAGCAGGTATCATGCGGAAGTAGCCATTGGCAACAAGCGGAACACTGTCACACATTATTCCTGGTGAGAAGCAGAGACACGATCAACTGCACGTTAACGATACGCTGGCTCTAAGCCCAGTGGAAATGTGTAGGTCTACGGTACACACACATACAAGCACGCACGCACACACACACACACACACACACACACACACACACACACACACACACACACACACACACACACACACACACACACACACACACACACACACACACACACACACACACACACACACACACACACACACACACGCGCGCATGCACACACACACACACACACACATGCACATACACACACACACACACACACGGTGGCAGAGACAAACCTCCTCGTGTCGTTATAGCGTGACATGTACACAATGATGTGTAACATGTACAGCTGGCATGTGTCTTGTCAATAACACGATCACATTACACAATGATTGTATGCCACTATCAGTGTAAAACCACAACTATAGAATGAAATCAGGAATTGGAATGCCCAGGAGATTGCTGCAAAGGCCCTGTGTTTCTCAGCATCCCAGGGTTAACCGGAATTACAATACTGTACAGGCAGAACATTTCGCCGGTCAATATTTTCGTCCAACTACAAAGAAAGGGAGTTCGTCCTGTTGAAAGTTCAAAAGTTTCGTCCATGGACTACAAGAGTGCATTGAAAAGCTGGAAAAATCGACATTAGTCCGGAATTTGTAGTCCGAATGCTCTTCGGACGGAAAAGACGAAGTTAAATTCCAGACTAATATTTCCCCTTGTACAGTAGTACACAATCCCCTAGTGTCATTATGTTGACAATGGCTTTTTTATGTAGTTGGTTGCTCCAACGAGGAGCACACGCTTCTCGCCGAACTTGACACTTGACTGACTCACGACTGCCATCCGGAGCACACGAGGAGCACGTCGCACCTTCCGCTCGGCAAACCTGAAAGAAAGCACCACTCCCTGCTCAATACCAACTTCATGACTAATACCGCCGAAGTCGCAACTTGTAAGTTCGTAGTGGCTTTTTAATCTTTTAATTTTTTACTATGTTCACATAACCAGCTCGAAAAGAATAAGAAAAGACAATGGTATGGAGACTAGGACAAACTGACGACTAATGAGCAGGCGCTGTACCGTGGCTTGTCTCGAAAACTCTAGGACCAGTATAACCGATTCAAGTATGTGCATGTGCTGTGCGGGCTGCACATGCACGTACATAGGACATTGAAGGGGGCAAGGACAGTTATCTTAAGTAACTGACATGCACTATGTACTCACGATTGCAACGCGGAGCTCCATAAGACCACACACCACTCTCATTACAAACATCTGCAGATGGTCCTTGAAGTACGTAATTCTTGTTGCAAGTGTAGCTGGCTGCACTGTTTACATTCAGTGCCACATAAGTGACATTGCCATGAAACGGTGGAGAGGGAGTGTTGCAGGTTATCACTGGGAAACAGATTTACATAGCAATAGGCAAAGAAACAAACAAATGATTCCCTCTGATGTGGTGCGACATTCTTCATATTGCGTCATGAAGCAAACAAGCATCGATGAAAGTAGCATTGATGAAAGTTTTCAAAATAGGGTGCTTGATGATCATGTGATCCGATCAGGCTCTGATCAGTGATTCAAAGCGAGTCAACATATGATAACTAAATTATTTGAATCTTTCGAAAAACTATGATGTCAAAACATCAGTACATTTAGAGAATTATTTGAACAAGATCGAAGGAGAAGATTGATTACTTTATAATGAACTGCAACATGCAATTCCATTACACCTCACCGCCTGATGACATAACCATTCATGCAATGAATACCTGAATGTCATCAACAAACTTATACTACACCTCACCGCCTGATGACATAACCATTCATGCAATGAATACCTGAATGTCATCAACAAACTTATACTACACCTCACCGCCTGATGACATAACCATTCATGCAATGAATACCTGAATGTCATCAACAAACTTATACTACACCCATATGTTGTAACGGAATCACAGCCATTCCGTTCCCCGGGACGCAGGACACAAAGGACAAGACTGGTTTGTATTACATTATTTATATTGACAAGACGGAAATGGAGACAACACTCAAATGGACGAACAAGAAGACTGACAAAAGGACTCTCGACTACAACATCGCGCATGCTCATATCACACATGCACGCGACTAGACGAGACAGTTTGGGGAATGCCATCACACAGGAAAACAACACATCATTTCACAAAACCTGCCCCCTTGATGACATTCCACAAAATAATAAACCGACACCACGTTCCACATGCACAACAGCAAAAGGAACCACAGCAAAACAGCAAAACCAAAACCAACCAACAGCTTACATTGTAGCACAACAAAACTGGGCCACGACACAGAGCCAAACCAAGACACAAGAGCCGACGCTCTAAACTCAGGCACACAAGGCCAACCGAAACACGAGAGCCAAAGCTCCAACAAATAACAACATGCGCGCAGCAGCGCAAAATAAATCTACAACGCAGAACAGAACGACGAGAGGAGCAACATACCGACAACCAAACTCAACAACACAGCAATGAACTGAACAGCGAGAGAAACACGATCAGACAACACAGCGAGCAAGACAACAAGACGAACAACAAAGGACGACACACAGTCGGTGATGCCAGACTCATCCACTGGCCTCTGGCGAGCCACAGCCACACGCTCCATGCGGTACCTGGCGTCCCAGGCTCCAGTCCCCAGCTTCTGCCGGTCCACCACCTTCTCTGCCTCCTCTCCGCGTCGTCTTCCACTTCCACCAGCCCCTCATCTCTCCTGATCACCTCCATCCCCACGCATACTCTCTAGTTGTACTATTAGTTGTTCACGACGACGAACATACTGATGACAAACTTACTCATCCTCTGCGTCCCGGGTTTCGGCACCAAATCTGTAATCGAATTCCTTTCTACTGCGGCGGTCAGACCCTAGAGCACTACCATTCCGTCTGTAGGCTCCCTCGATCCCTCACGACCACACACTCAAGACCCCAAATACGGCTTGTTTACAGGAATTAGTCTAAAAGGAGAGTAAAAAGATCCACAAAAGCCAGCCTGATGCCACAAGGTTTATGCCCTCACGCGCATCAAAGAACCATAGCAAAAATGGCGCACAGCATGATCAGATCACATGATCATGCTCTGATCAGTGATTCAAAGCGAGTCAACATATGATAACTAAATTATTTGAATCTTTCGAAAAACTATGATGTCAAAACATCAGTACATTTAGAGAATTATTTGAACAAGATCGAAGGAGAAGATTGATTACTTTATAATGAACTGCAACATGCAATTCCATTACAAGGCGATGTTTGATAGTTTAACCACGCGATGTGAAGCCCTGCTGTTGCATTTTACTGAAGTTGCACTATTCGAGTTATGTACAGTTGCTAACAAACATGACATGCTCTCTGTCCATACTCCATAAAATTCATGCTCCACGTCTTGCGATTCAATCATTTTATCCCCTTTCCGATATGCATAATTATAACCTTCTGCATGACTTAGTCATTTGAGCCAGGGACTATAGAAACCGCCCTACAACGTTTGATATCAAAATCAAGTTATGACGTTTCAAAGTCACGTGACTCAAAGTTACGCGAAAAAGGCAAACAAAGGAGTCGTTCACTGGTGCCTGGCACACCAAGGCTTGACTGGGACAACACCAGAGCACTTAGCCATTTCAGCAGACATAGAGCAGGATATAGTGCAGTTTATTTATTCATATGCTAACATGTACGGTCTACCTCAACCTGCAGCGGAGCGAGGTCGTGCTGAGGACCCTCCAGTATACTTACCAGCATCCAAGAACAAGAAGTCTGCATACAACATCTATACCAAGACCGTCACACAGTATTCGCCTGTTCATTACAGGACATTTTGCCACATTTGGAGGAGACAGGCAGTACACATCAAATTGATGAAGCCAAGGAAAGACGTATGCGCACTGTGTGACAAGCTGCGGGACAAAATTTGTGTCACTCGTACATAGGAAGAGACGGAGTGTAGAGCCCAGGCCCTGCATTCGCACATATCACTAGCACAAGAGGAGCGGCAGTACTACGGAGATTTAGTGGACGACGTGCAGGCGTCACTGGATGAAGCTGAGGGCATAGTTCACTATACCTTTGAACTGCCTAACTAGCAAGAATGAAGATATACAAAGAATATTACAAACTGTAATACTCATAAAAAGGACACACTTCAGGCTCATTACAAACATCTTGAAAGTTTTGGTCTTCACAAGTATACTTTCAAGCCTTCTCATCAGGTGAAATACAGGCAAGGGAAAAGTTTGTCTCAGAGGAAACTGTTTACCTATTACAAACTGTGTACATAAATTTGCTCTATATCGCTCAATTGACATGCCATTATCATTAACCCTTTATGTACTGAAAAATTGTACACAGACTGAATTTGATCTCGACTCACCTCAAATTCTATAATTATCCGGGTCATAACTTTAGTCTCCTGTTGACGATTTTTTCAATCTTGGGCTTCCTGGAAAGCTCGTCGTAAGAGGAACACATTGAGCCCACGCTTGCCACCACGCAGGTCAAAACGCCAGCGCTACAGCCCAGCGTCTTAGCTGCAACTCCAATATTCCGACAGAAGTCGTCTTGCATCAGCCATTTCGCTCTCCTTGCTCGTACCAACTAACTGTTACTTCAGAAAAAATTCACAAACTGCCATGAGTCCGTTTACCATTTTGAACGTGTTTCTATATCACTGCATGCCCAGAATGATTGGGAAATCCCTCATTCAAATTTGCGCGAGCGGCTATTGAGCGACATTTGCCGCCATTCGACTTCCGAGCTTCGTAACTCTGGAACCACACATCGGACCGCTTCAGCGATTGTTTCAATGGACAGCTGGGAGTTTTCTCTTTGATTTACATAATGACTGAGTTACGATCGATTGAAAATTTGAAAAGTTTCGATCCCAGGGGATCGAAAGTTGAACAGTCCGTACACAAAGGGTTAAATAGGTGGTTAGGCACACTTTACCATCGCAAATCAACTTGAAATTTTGTTTGAGCACATTACCATACCATACCAACATTTTGAGAGAATTTTTTCGCCAAAAAAGTGCCATAGGGTGGTTTCTGTAGTCCCTGGCTCATTATATAGATACATTTTCATTTACTGTGAAAAAAGGAGGACAAAATGTTACGAGTTATGACTAACTGTCCACCAACGAAACCAGATCTTATACATGTCAGCTTTTTTCACCATAATTTAATTGGCTCACCATCGCCAAATTTTGTGCACGCGCACATGTTGTCCAGGCGTCAGGGGCCCAGCCTCCCTGCCCATCCGACCCGCCACACACAACAACGAACCTGAACTAAGAGTTCTACATAATTTCTTGACAAGACGGAGACGGACAGACAAGAAGACCGGACACGACGAGGTAAACTGAAAACTGAAGAAAAAGACTAACATTTATGGCAGCATACGAGCATGCGCGCAACAAAACACAACGTATGACAATGACGTAACCGTTACTTGGATCATGTACAAACTATACATGCAACCAAAACCAGTCAAAGCAGAACGCAAAACAAACCAAAATAAACGAAAGGACCACAACAAAAAAGAGCCATGATAAGTCTTTCTACCGATACACAACACCCGCGTTCAAATTCAGGTCAAGAAACTTCGTTTTCAAGCGATCCATGCCTCCAGGTGGCAGGCGATAATGCAAACTACCATTTTTCAAGTACACTGTAACGACCTTCCAGCGGGGTAGGGTAAGCAGTTCCCCGCCTTTTTTCCTTGGCAAGCGGTTTGCTGGCTTTGTTCGTGTTTTCAGACCTGCTACCTTCGCAGCAACATGCGCCACAAGTAGCGCATTTTAGGAATTTGAGACCACTTTGTTCTTCCCATCGTCAACTTCAGCATTTCGTATTCAGGAGAGATACCAGGATTCTTATACCCGAGCGCGCAGTCTTATGAATGCCCACGCGAACAATGTGGGATGGCACGAACTCCAGAAAACGAAATGCGCTCTGGGGCAGAATAGTGCGGAGCGCGATGAATTTGCTTGGTGCGGAAGAGAGCTCCGACAAAGTCCGAGACCATCACGGCTTCAGTGACAAGTAGACATTGTGCAGGAAGGGTCGCACCAGTGTTCGAACACAGAAAACAGCAATTCCGACAGTCTGACTAAGACGGCCCAAGTCACAAGTATTGCGATGTGCGAAGCGACAATTTTAATGACGCGGAGGAAGTACAAACATTCTGCTGAGATCTGCACAATCAATACTAGTATTTTCACTAGATCAACCCCCTTTCCCTGTACTTCTAATAGCAGATACGCACCACAGTTTTGGACCATGTGTGCTTGAATCATTTCTAATGATGAATTTCTAATGAATCATTTCTTATGATGAATTTCTAATGATGAGTT